ATTGATTGCAGAAGCGGCAGACCTGTGCAGGGAGAGCAGCATCAGTACACACACCTGTGCAGGGAGACTGGCGTTGGGACACACACCTGTGCAGGGAGACTGGCGTTGGGACACACACCTGTGCAGGGAGAGAAGCATCAGTACACACACCTGTGCAGGGAGACTGGCGTTGGGACACACACCTGTGCAGGGAGAGCAGCCTGGGAACATGCACCTGTGCAGGGAAGGCGGTGATATGGTTTGGCTGTGTCCCCATCCAAATCTCAACTTGAATTATATCTCCCAGAATTCCCACGTACTGTGGGAGGGACCCAGAGGGAGGTGATTGAATCATGGGGGCTGGTCTTTCCCGTCGTTCTCGTGATAGTGAATAAGTCTCACGATATCTGGAGGGTTTATCAAGGGTTCCCACGTTTGCTTCTTCCTCATTTTCCCTTGCTGCTGCCATATAGAACGTGTGTTTCGCCTCCCGCCATGATTCTAAGGCCTCCCCAGCCATGTGGAACTGTAAGTCCAGTTAAACCTTTATTTTCTTCCCCGTCTGGGGTATGTCTTTATCAGCAGTGTGAAAACAAGCTAACACAGGAGGGATCGGGGCAGGCAGTTGCGCAGCACACCTGGGAAGCAGGGCTGTCCCGGCTGATTCTCGGTCAAAGGGAAAAAGGAAGGGGACACACAGTGAATCCTGGCAATGCATCCCCCGAGGGTAATACCAACCAGGTGCATTGTCCCCGTTTCACGGGCAGTGTTCGGAGAGCTCTGAGACAGTGCAGGAGGGGAGCTGCTCTGTGCAGGGCCCTGGGCAGGAAAACTGTCAGGCCCAAGAGGAAGGTGAGGAGGTTGGGAGGGGAAGTGTCGCTCTTTCCACTGTTTCTTTAACATGGAGGACCACCTGGTCTGGTCCTCCCCAAGGTGCCTCATTAAGGTGGGATGCAAAGGCCCAGGGGTGCCATGGGAGCAGTGGGTCCGTGCAGCGCAGTGAGTCCCACCCACTGTAAAGGCCCAGACACCTCTCCGGGGAGGCACAGGGCTGATAGCACCAGAACCGTTCCCAAGGCGTCTAGATCTGCTGACAGACATAAGGCAGGAGGAGAGGCAGGTATGGAGGGTGGAAGGAGAGAGGTAAAGCTGGGCTGGTGAATGCAGCTGCGGACGTGGCCCTCATTCCCAGGGAGTGGGGGGCACGCCAGGAACATGGTCAGATTTGTGTTTTAGAAACTGCCACGGGCTTCCCTGCGAGGCTGGGTCACCCTGGAGAGACAGTGAGGTGGGTAGGGGACCAGGAGCCTGAACCCGGGAATGGCGGTGGGGATGGGAGTGGACAGAGGCCAGAGATGAGGAGGAGGCGGGCTGAGTGGGACGCGGCCGACTGTGCTGAGGGAGAGGACGTTGAAGGCTGACTCTCAGGTGGCCAGGGCCTGGCTGGGGGTGGCAGCGAGGCCAGCCGGGGCAGCAGGGTGGGGGCTGGAGGGGCAGGTCGATGGGGAGTTCTGTGTTGGGCAGTTGCCAGGGGAGGGGACTCCTGATGAGCTCTGCGGAGGGCACCTGCAGATGCTTGGGGTGAAGGAAGAGAGAGGTCTGGGTGGACACGAGCCAGAGCCTGGCCTCACTGGACTTCTTGGGTTGCGCCTAAGAATAGGGTTTTGAAACTTTGAGGTTATACCTGGGAGTTGGGAAAACCCACCAAAGCCAACAGCCCAGGCCCCACAGCAGCTCCCATCCCAGGCCGGCTTATGCCCGCCCTGCAGGCTTCACCCCTGCTTCCCCGGCTCCTGCTCTCTCTCTCTGTCCCCTGCCCACAGCCTTGGCTTCCTGCCTTCAGCAGCCACCCCAGTTCCCAAACGCCTTCCCTCGTGTTGGGCAGCGCCCTGATGGAAGCTCAGGCTTTCACAGCCCAGGGCTGCTTCCCAGCTCAGCCTCAGGGCTTGGAGAAGGAGCTTTGCCCTGCAGTCACCTTCCTGGGAAGGGGCAATTGGTGCGTGGTTCTGGATGGGCTCCGTCCCCTGCGTGGTTCGGCAGAAGCCACAGTGAAGTCCTGGGAATGCATGAGACCGTCCTGGCGGCGGGCGGGGTGGGGGTCCAGGAGTCGGGGTCAGGAAGCCATGCTCGGGGTGTCAGAGGGTAGGGGCTGGGAGAGCGGGGGCTCTGCCTGGGGGGTGCCTGGGCCGCGCTGACTTCCTGCACCCCTGCACCTCCTCTGGGGAGCAGCCAGAGCGCTGTTTTACACATGTGACGATCACACTAGAACGTTCTCAGCACAGAGAAGGTGCTCCGTCAATGTTTGCTGAGTGAATAAATGTGCTCTCTCTCTCTAAATGGCCATTGCCTGGCTGTGAACTCGAGGGCACAGCAGGTGGAATTCATTTTTGTGTTCTGGGGCCTGACAGAGAGAAGGGGCTTGGGAATCATTTGTGTAGTGATTTTCAGAATAATGTCAGGGCCTAAAACTATAACAGCAAAATGCAGCACCTGCTGCTCCAGCTGCTCCCTCTTCTGGGGCTGTTGGGTCAGGACCTGTGGAGGGAGGGAGCCCGGTGATCCCAGGGGCCGTGGCACCCACAGCATCGGTGGCTCTGCTGCTTTCCACAGCAGGCCCCATCAGCTTTCTGCCTGCTCTTTGCTGTCGAACTTGTCTGTCGCAGCTGTCCCGGGCAGTAGGTCCCGCACGAAGCTGCCCTGGGAGGAGCGGGGCAGTGGGAGGAGCGGGGCAGTGGGAGGAGCGGGGCAGTGGGAGGAGCGGGGCAGTGGGAGGAGCGGGGCAGTGGGAGGAGCGGGGCAGTGGGAGGAGTGGGGCAGTGGGAGGAGTGGGGCAGTGGGGAGAGGCAGCCGCGCTCATTCTTGGTCTTGCTCTGAGGTAGTCACTTTCCCTGGGGTCTCGTTTGAAAAATGACGGCAGCCGGCTATGTGCTGCCCTCCTGCTGCGACTTAGGATCTGACCCGAGGGCCAGAAGGTTAGCTTGGTCTGTGCACACTCAGGAAGGCCCTGAGCGCCGTGCCTGAGAGCAGGGTGGCGGCAGGACTGTCATCCCAGTGTCTTCGGGGACTGCGCCGAGGAGCCAGGCCACATCCCACGTGGGGTGACTTCCATGTCCACGGGGCCAGGCTCATTTTGTGTATTTCACGCAGCTCCCTGAATTCTCAGAACAGCCTATGAGTTGTCATTATCTGTCCTATGGGAAAGCAGGCAGGATGTAGGCCTGAGACAGGCTGGTGCCAAAGTCTGTACCCTTTCCACAGGACTGGGTATTTGGAAACATCTGTTCAATTAACCTTCAGGTATGGCGAGGCCCTATGGTCACTGACAAGCTAGTCTGTGAAGGTTCTCAGGAGGACTGGCCATGCCATGCCATGCCACACCACACCAGGCCATGCCAGGCCACACAGGGAAGTGCAGGCCAGCTGAGAGGCCGAGGGAGCAAGGGGGAAGTGTGGGCAAAGCTAGGAACCTTTGCTGTGGTTTCTGCGGGAAGGAACAGCTGAGGCCAGGGAAGAGGGCTTGGGGCTGAGTAGCCTGAATCACGTCTGTGGGCTCCTGGCATTGGCTGTGTCCTGTGGTCTGTTGCCTGGCCCTGGGGTGATTAGGGCCGGGGTACAGTTGGCTGCAGAGTGAGAGCCCCAAGCCCCCCTTAGTGAGGTGGGCAGGCGTGGCTCTAGACTGCCTGGGTTTTGATAAGGTGTGTTCCAGGGTAGGGGTCACTACGTCTAGGAATTGGCCAGCCCTGGAAGGGCCGTCCCTCCAGGGTCAGCAATGTGTCCAATGTCAGAGCATCGGGAAAAACCGATGTTATGGGCAGCCCTCCGCAAGACAGGGGGCAGTGGCTCAGCTGTGGGGAGCCCCTGCCCTCAGGGAGGGTTCCAGATGCACCAGACCCTCCGAGTGCAGGGCAGGGTTGGAACGTGCCCCCGTCTCCGCCTCCTGTGCAGGAGGTGGGTACACCTGAACCCTTCCTTCAACCCTGCCAGGTCTCCTGCCCTACTTTCCAATCGGTGCCTTTGTAGGCAGGGAGAGCCACTTTTAACAGCCTCATAAACCAGATGAAGTTTCCATCATAAAATTTCTGAATCACAGACGTCAGGTCATGTTTTCCCTGCTTCCCATTAACGAGCCGGGCTCCTGATTTATGTTCTCGAGGCTTCGTGTCGCCTGCTCCCGAAATTATAACTCACATGGATATCCCTGAGCACTCTCCATGGTGTTAAAAAGCAAAGCCAGGAGTCCCAGTGTCCTCTCGCTAAGTTTGAAAGGAAATTAGAGGCCCTTCCTTTCCATTTGGCAGCCTACCAGGGCATGGCCTCTGTTCAAAAGCCAGCAAGGAGCGTTACTTTAAAAATGGCCTGTTAAAAGCTTTAACCAGATTCTGCCCACACGACGAACCGCCCACCACAGAAGAATTAACAGTGCAGCAGGGGACGCTCAGCCTTCTTGGACGCTGCCTGGGAGGACACGCCACTCACGGCGTCAAAGGGCAGGTCAAGGGTGCTTGGAAAATGACTTCTCTCCTTGCAGAACTCCTATTTAAACACAACAGCCTAGCTCCAATAACCCCACTGCTTTGTAAAAACCCTCCCCAACAGCCTCAAACTTAGCAGCTCTGTGATTCCAGAAACTTCACAGTCCTCTACACAAAAGACACACCTGGGATCTTTCTATGTCGTCCTGCCTGGAGCAAGCTCCCTGAGAGCAGGAGTTGTAGCTGACCCGTTTCTAGTTCCAGCACCTGGTACAGTCGGCCTCACCGCGGGTGCACAAAACGTCTCTTGAACTGGATGTTCAGGTCTGTGGACTCAAAACTACTTTTTAATACAAACCACGGTTCCTTCATCTGCCTACTTCTTCCCTCCACGTGTCACTCCTGACCCCTCTCCCCTCCGTAGGTGGCCCAAGGTCAGCGAGAGATCACCCCCCCCCCCCCGCCCACCCACCTGACAGCAAGGACTTCAGGAAACGCAGCCACTTCTCAGTGTGCAGCACACACCAAGGGCAGTCAAGACACTGGGGCTCGCGGAGAGAAGTTTATTCATACACAAAGGTGCACGCCAAGGGCGCCAGTCTAGGGTTACACCACGTGAAACAGTAAAAAAATCAACCAGGAAAGCAGGAAATTCAGTGAAGCTACTACAAAATGGGGCGAGTGGACTGAAAACTAGGATTTTCCTTGCAAGTTGCTTTTCATAAAATTTTTACTTTATGAATTAAATACATTGAGAAACAGTGAAAATATATTTACAGTCATTTAAAATGGGCACTACCAACATATTTAATTTAAAAAAATCTTTGCTGTTTCTTTGCCTGTTTCTTTCAAAGAGAATTTTAAATATGACTTTAGCTTTTAAAAAATACAATAAGGAAATAATTACATTCTTAATATGAAAACATTTTACAACCTATCGCCATGGTCAATTAATTCTGAGTATCCTTTAAAAGTTGATGTTAAAATTTAAAGTGAATATTTCCTTTCTTGTTAGAAAATCAAAAAGATTATCTCATTAAAAACACCTTTGGTCCCTAAGAATTATGATCTGAAGATCTCCTTTTGAAAGTATCTTCCATGGCTACACTAAAAAGACCGGGTAATACTTGTGCACGGTGAAGTTGAGATTTTCTGGAAGGCCAAAGCTGGAACTGTTTCATGAACTGCGGGCAAAAGGACGCGTCTGAAGCCCACCACTTCCCAGGCGCAGTTTCCTTCCCTTTATAGACGATGGAGTGGCCTGCTATGGCTTGGGGACTCACGAATAGAGGTGGCTTTGCTTTTTCCACGGTGCTGTGCCACGTGTTTATGGCAGGAATGCTTTGGTTTCACTTCAGTTTATTTCACAGTATGAACCCAGCCCATCATGGTGACAAGACAGTGACAACCAGGAAAAAAATGAATTATCCTCCTTCAAACTATGTCATGAACTTGAAGTTACTGTTCCCATTAGAAAATTATTTTAGTAAGAGGAAGGCAATAATTTAACATTGAAGTATTGCCACGACCTTTATGTAAGCTGCAGGGCACCCTGCCAGCCAACCCTGACGCCTGAGACCTCCAGTGCTGTGCTCCCAGAAGAGGCTGTTTCAAGGATGGACATCCACCTGACTGCAGGGGCCACCTGTGAGCTCAGGGTGTCGGCCCTGCCCTGCGGCATGACGTGCCTTTTCTCTAGGTGCGGGTCACCGGCCACATGACAGGCTACCCATCCTTGGATGGTGTCAAATGACATGAGTTTGGTGCATGAACAGAGCACCTCACCTGGGTAGCAAAGTCTGTGGGCAAAATTTACATCCCCCCAAATAGTGGGTGAGCAGAGTTAACAGCCTCTTTAGAAAGGTAAGGGGTGGCCACAAACAAGGGAGCTTTGCCCACAACCCTACACCTAACCCTGGCTTCAACACGGCCCTTTGAATCCCGTGCACAAGCGCCAAATTGTGGCCATAATGATAACGAATCTCAAACTCCTTCCTAGGGGTGGCCTCCAGAGCCGAGGACATACTTTTTGAAACAGACTTTTCAAAAGGAGTAAATCTCCACCTTTTAGGGTAGTTTTGTCCATTTAGAAATGGCCAATAATAACTTTGGGACGAGTAAGATACAGGGGAAGGTTAGGCCTGGCCACGCCAGGGCACAGGCACAGAGGGCGAGGCGGGACTAATCCAGCTGGTAAATGGCCACCTGCCAGCCCCAAGGGAAGGTCTCAAGGAAGGCCCCATGGACAGTGGCCCGTGCTCCTGGGTCAAGTCTGGTGCCTAGGGTGACTCAGCAGACCCACACTGGTTACCCTGCACCGGCCGCGGACTCTGGAAGCTGAGGGAGGGAGCTACTGGCCTTGCAGACAGATGGGCCTTGCCCTAGTTCCCCCCAGATTCTGGGAAGAGGGAGCCATGGCCTGCCTGTTGGGCCTCTGCACCCCTCATCCTGGCTTCTCCAGGGACCCTGGCCTGCCTGTCGGGCCTCTGCACCCCTTATTCTGGCTTCTCCGGGGACCCTGGCCTGCCTATTGGGCCTCTGCACCCCTCATCCTGGCTTCTCCAGAGACCCTGGCCTGCCTGTCGGGCCTCTGCACACCTCATCATGGCTTCTCCGGGGACCCTGGCCTGCCTGTCGGGCCTCTTGCCCCCACAACCTGGCTTCATTATGAAATCAGACACACGCAGCTGCCACAGGGGCAAGGGGTGCTTGTTCCTGGGGCACGTTTTGGGAGGGTGATAAAATGAGATCACTGTCAGAATTCTGGCAGGATGGCTCGTGTGTGTCTAATATGTACAGATATAAATTAAAAACTATTTATTGAACATATACAAATAAATAACTTATTCTGAAGTAAATGCTTTAAACTTTCTGATTAAATGCAAAATTTCAAGGGAGTATCTGGCATCGAGGGAATCCAATGTCAGGGCCCCCTTCCAGGGCACCCATTTTGAAAGGCTCTATGGACCACAATGGGATTCGTGAAAGTTTGCCTCCTCTTTAAAAGGCTTATGGTTGTGGCAGTGAATTACAAACCTGGGTTTTTAAAACAAAATATGCATGCTGGGAGTTGAGCACCCATCAGCTGTGCCCTTGGGCAAGTCCCTGCTAAGGCTCTGGGGCCTCCTTACCAGGTGAGGAAGCTGGCGGGTGACGGCTCAGGCCCATGTGACACACCGTGTGCCGCTTGCGCTTCACCTGCCGGCTCGCCGCTGCCCCCCTGTGCTGGGCCAGGACTGAGACTTCAGGCTGGCCATCTCCCGCTTCTCCTCCTAACCACCAAAACCTCGCACAGTTCTCTTTGGCAAAGCAGGCTGCCAATCAGAATGGCCCAAGAGCCTCAACTGGGGAAACTATCTGACCCGAAGGCAGCAAAAACCTATGGGGGAGCAAACATTTTCACCTTTATAGAAAATGCATTCTGTGTGATACGAAGTGGTCCCAGCTGCCTGCAATGGTGGGAAGTCCCCACTGGAGGGAGGGCTCCTCTATGGCAACGCAGCGGACCGGCCCTGAGACGTGTGGCGTCCCCGCCCGACCTGCCTGGATGTCCTAGTGGGAAGCTGGCATCACGGATGCTGGTGTAATGGGCCTCCACGGACTACCCAGGAGGAACGTGCGTCAGAGGAGGAACGCCGGCTGACGGCTCAGGAACCCAACATGCTCCCGGCAGATGGCTTTGCGATCAATTCAAGTTTCAGGTGGACTCCAGCAGCTTCCAGTTCTTGTAAAACTTTCTTATACACGGGAGACCACTTTTCCGCTCGAGTAATCCAGCGTGGCCCCTGCAGGCCTCAGGCGCCACGACCTTCAACATGAATCCTAACTGTACAGTCCCGTGTGCCACATGGCTGGCGCTCTGAAAGCATGTCTGGGGGGAACTCCTTGTCAGTGTTTTCCTGCCGTCTCTTCCTCTGCGTGATAAAGGACATTCTGGACACTGGACAGAAGGCTTGCACCAAGTGTGACACCTCTCTATTCTCTGCTCAGGGAAGGGGCGGTGGCTGCTGGGACTGGTCTCCGTGAATCCGCCTGCGGAGGCTTTCAGGGGCGACTTATTTTGTCATCAGTGACTGCATCTTCCCGTAATGGAGAATTCCTGACAGCGGTCTCCGGGAGACCAAGAAGTTAAATCTGACTTTTAAACCCAGGGAGTAGATACCAGCTCAAACCATGAACTCTGTTTTTTTTTTTTTTTTTCCTTTATGCCTTAGGCATCTGAATTCTCCAAGCGATATTGCACAGAAGGCAAGTAAGAAAGCTGGGAAAGGGGCCCTACCCGCACCCACCCCACTCAGGAGAGGCAGCACGGCCAGGCCCACCCATGCATTAGTGGTTTAACTTGACAAGCTGGAGGAAGGGAGAGGGAGGGGCAGGAGGCCCTGGAATTCCTGCCTCGTGCTCTAAGATGTTATAATTCCATGAGGGAACAAGTTCCAGAACTTGCTTCCCTTTCAAAGGACTGCCCTGGCCCACGCAGCAGTAAACGTCCTGTACAGTGGCGAGCAGCCAGACCCTGCCCCCAGAGGCTCCTGGTGGGAGGAGCACCTGCCGGCTCCGATGTGGATTAAGGGCTGGGGATGCCAGCCCAAGGGGGAGGAGGGCACACTGTTAGTGAAGTATTAAAACCCTCTGCTACCTGTCAAAAGTAGCACAAATAATAAAATAAGGAACCTCTGAAAAATCCTTAGATCTAAGTGTGACACACAACAAAAAAAATTCTTAAAAAACAGGTTAAGAAGAATGGCAGCTTTTCATGTCTTGGTGACAAAAGCATCTGTCCAAAAAATAATAAAAGGTAAAAAATGTTTCACAGCGTGATTTTCTCATGCCTTTACCTCTGATGATGAGGGGGACGGGCACGTGGGGAGGGTACGCCGAGACACAGAGTCCACGTCAGGGCTGTGTAAGCCCCTGGCCCTCCTGGTGGGTGTGCGAGGCGAGCCCAGTGCCCACGCGCCAGCCACACTCATGCCCGGGGCAGCCGGGGATCCAAGCTCTTCCCCGTCGAAAGGTTTCACTTGGGGGCTCACAGAACCATCCATCCTCAGTCCAGGGCTGGGCTGGAATCGGTGAAAGCAATGGCTTAACTGGTTAGAAAGATGTCACTTTGCCTGATAGCATCCTTTCAAACACCTTTCCATCACTTTTTTTGTTTTTTAACAAAAGTTGGGGACCAAAGTCTTACAAGTACATCTTTTCTAAAGGCGCCAGTATACAGTAGAAGGAATGCAAGTGGGCCTGGGTGAGAGGCGCTGGCCTCAGAGCTCGGTCGTGAAGCCTCTGGAGTCGCGCAGCTGAGGCCACTCTGGGCAGAGCTTCCTGCCGTCACACAGAGGAGGACACGGGCAAGGGGGTGTGCAGTCTCTGAGGCTGGAGCAGTCCTGCTGTCCCCTATGTCCCGTTCTTCAATTCCCATTCCTAGAGAAAAGGAAAGTCTTGTAAGTCGACAGGGCAAGAGGATCAGGCTGGGACAAGCCACGCCACCATCCACATTCGACTCAGAGCAGGTGGGTGCTCAGCTACTGCAGAAAACTAAACACAATCAATGACCAATGACCCGGCAATTCCACTGCTAGGTATTTACCTATCAGAATGGAGAGCATGGTCTCCGGCAGATACCACACCCCCCGTTCACAGCAGCATGACTCACACAGACAGGAGGCGGAGGCAACCCAATACCCACCGATGGATAGACACAAAAGACATGGCGAGTACAGACACCACCACATATTCAGCCTTAAAAAGGAAGGGCTTCTGACACATGCTGCAGCCTGGATGGACCTTGAGGACATGATCAGAAACAAGCCAGTGACAAAACGATAAATCCTGTAATGATTTCACTCACATGAGGGACCTGGAAAAGTCTAACGAGGACAGAAAATGGGCCGCGTGCAGTGGCTCACACCTGGAGTCCCAGTACTGGGGGAGGCACAGACAGGAGGATGGCATGAGGCTAGGAGTTTTGAGACCCGCCTGGGCAACATAGCGAGACCTCACCTCTATTTCAAAAAATAACAAAAAAGGAAGTAGAATAGTAGGTATCAAGGGCTGGGGTGGGGGGACTGGGGAGTTAGTGTTTAATGGAGACAGAGCTTCAGTTTGGGAAGATGAGAAAGTTCTGGAGAAGGATGGTGGTGATGGCTGTGCAACAATGGGAATGTGCTTAATGCCACTGAACTATAGACTTTAAAATGCTTTAAATGGTCAATTTTACAATGTGTTTATTTTACCATAATAGAAAAATGTTTTTTTAAAAAATACGTGGATGCTTAAACCCAGTCAGCGAAGCAGCTGGACTTGTTCCATCCATAGGCCCTGAGTGCTGGTTGCGGATGGCTGTGGTCTACGCAGTGCCAGCAAAGCGAGAGCAGGGACAGTGGGCACCAGGCAGGCACTGTGCTATGCACTGGGCACGGCTGTGTCTGGTCTGATGACAGTTCTGCAAGGTGGACAGTACTCCCACTTCCTAAGTGAAGAGACAGGTAGCTGCGGGGCTCATGCCTGGAACCCCAGCACTTGGAGGGGCTGAGTGAGGTGGGAGGATTGTGTGAGACCAGCCTCAGCAACACAGGGAGACCCCAACTCTACAAAAAATACAAAAATTAGCTGGGTGTGGTGGCGCACACCCGTAGTCGCAGCTACTCGGTAGGCTGAGGCGAGAGGATTGCTTGAGCCCGGGAGTTTGAGGTTGCAGTGAGCCATGACCGTCACTGCACTCGAGCCTGGTCAACAGAGCAAGACCCTGCCTCAATTGATCGATAAGGATCGATAAGGAGACAGAGGCTTAGTGATTTGCCTTAGGTCCAAAGTGATAAAGCTGGGCCCCCAAACCACTGTTCCACAGCAAAGGCCTCCCATCTCCACTTTGCCCTGCTGCCTCCCAACAGGCCACACTCTGGCTTTCGTATCTGCTTCTCTCTGCACACACCCATGCCCGTTCTCCACCTGACGTCACCTGGCCGGCTTCATGTATCCTGAGGACTAGGCTTCAGTGATCCCCCCCACCCTGTGCCCCTTCCTGCCCTGACTCAGGGAGGCAGTGCTCCCATCTTCTGTGCAGTTTCTGTGCTTTTCAACAAGCCATGTCACAGCAATAAATGTACCTGCCCCTCCCTACCGGATACACACCCTCCATGTTCTTCCTTGCTTCTTCCTTTCCAGCCACTCATCTTTGGGTCCTCAACACCCAGTGCAGCTGCACAGAGACAGACGCCTGGGCTACTCCTGGTCTCTGGAGCTATGTGGATTTGAAATGGGGGGATTTAAAATGGGATTTGGTCATGGGATTGAGTTCCAGAAAGAGGAGGCGAAAGAGCAGACGCAGGTCAGAGCAGCAGCAGCACCACGCAGGACAGAGGCCCTCAGTTCCCCCGCGTGGATGGCTCTGGAGGAAGTTCCCCCGCATGGATGGCTCTGGAGGAAGACAGCAGAAGGCACAGATGCCAGGGCCAGACTTTCTGTGCCCCAGCCACTGTGGGGGGGGGGTTGGAGAAGTTGCTTCATCTCTCTGAGCCTTGGTACAACGTGAGTCCCACCAAAGACTTCAAAGCGCAATTGGGAAGATCAAAGGAGAAAGGCTCTGTGAAAGCCCTGACCACAGCACCCGGCACACCATGAGCCTGGCCACCAAACACGGGCTTTCTTCTCTGTGCCCGGTGACCCTGCGCCGGGATGCAGATGCCTGACTCCCACTCTATTTCCAGGGGCTCATGAACTGGGCCATGAGTACACTGCACGTCTCTGCATGCTGCATACAACGAACAATTTCTCATCTTTTCTCAATCAAGAGCTCAAGTTCAGCTCATGGTTAAATGCACAATGCTAGCAAATCTGGCAGAAATAAACCCCAAACCACAGCGATGATAAAACCATGGTGAGGCACTCTGACTTTTGGTGGAAGTATTCTGCAGAGGGGAGGATGGTTAGCTGGGCACGCCTCATGCCTTCTTGCCCCTTCAGCAGCCTCCCTGGGATAGCTATGTGGGCTGTTGTAAGCAGAGAAGCATGCCCAGGGGACAAGGTCACGAGGTCGGCGCTCAAGGGCAGTCCTCTGTTGTACACATCCCCCATTTCCTCCCAGGCAGTGGGGGTTTGAGAGAGGGAAGACCCCATGTTACCTCCACACGGTGCCACATAAGTTTAGCAAACAAGTCTAGGAAACAGTGACATTTCCAAGCCCAGGTCACACTGGCCACAGAATAAGTGACATGATGAGAACCGGTAGACTCTGCTCAACTCAGAGCAGGGCAGGAAACAGAATCTCCAGGTGCATGTGTCAGTAGAGGCAGCGGCATGAAATCTGGAGCAGCTCAGCGCCTGCCCCTCGGGCACCTCCCAGAGCGGAGCCACAGTTTCCATGCCCGGATGTCCCTTGGCACATGGCCTGCCCAGATGAAGGGAAGGGACACCTGGCCTGGAGATGTGCCTGGTAGGTGGTTCTGAGCCAGGAAGCCCCAGGGCATGGGACTGGAAGCCGTCTGACTTTCTAGAACCCTCTCTCGTGCTCAGTGCTCCTCACCGAGAGTTGGAAGGTATTTCAGGAATACCGCAGCTGGGTAGTGCTTCCCACATCCAGAATACGTCAGACCCCTTGGTCCTCAGAAAAAGGCAGGAGGCAGATGACAAGTTTACGGTACCCAAATGCATTCATGTTCTCAGCGTCTACAGGCTCCACCACAATCCCCACCTCCAACCGGGGGTCCCTTGTCACTGTTCTCAGAAATCCTGGGAAACCCTGCTCAGTCCGTCCCCTTCTGACTTCTGCAACAAGATTCTCAGCTGGAGGGATGAGAGGGGCTTCCGCTGTTTTCTGGACCTGTCAATGGGGACCCGTCTGGACAACTGGCTGTGCATCCGAGGTGGCCCAGGATCACTCGCTTCCCATTCACCGAGAGGGAGCAGAAGGGACGGGGCGCCTGAACCTCTGCATGACGGAAGCACACGCAGTGACAGGAGCCCTTTCAAGGGTCGGGACCACAGAATTTTCAGTCCAATTTCTTCGATGATAAAGAAACTAAATAGATGAAGTCCATTTACAGCATCTCTCATCTGCAGGTCCTTAGCGGGATGTCGTCGGGCAGCTCAGTTCTAAACACCCCCCCGGGCAAAACATATTCCTCCATCAACGAGCCCAGTGGTCACCAGCTGAGAACACTTGGCAAATACGAAGAAAAGCAATGGAGATGACAGTCAGCCATTCCTCCCTTTCCCAGACTCGCCAAAACACACGGTCTTCAGTACATGGATCTGCCGTGGAAGACTGCTGTTCTGGGGGACAGCTGGGGACAACCATGTTTCTTAGGGGCCCTCCTGTGAGCACCCCAAAGAGCACAGCAGGTGGGTGGTACTCATATTCCCATCTCGCAGGAAACACCTATTCCTGCCAAGTCGGAGTGGGCTCCAAAAGCTGCAAAGAATGCCCAGCTGGGCGCAGCGGCTCACGCCTGTAATCCAGCACTTCGGGAGGTAGGAGGATCACCCGAGCCCAGGAGTTCGACACCAGCCTAGGCGATACTGCCAAACCTCATCTCTAAAAAAAAAACAATAAATTAGCTGGGCATATTGGTGTACACCTGTAGTCCCAGCTACTTGGGAGGCTGAGGTGGGAGGATCAACTGAGCCCAGGAGGTCAAGGCTGTGGTGAGCTGTGATGGTACCATTGTACTCAGCCTGGGCCACAGAGTGAGGCCCTGCCTCAAAAAAAAAAAAAAAAAAAAGTTAATTCCGGTAGTGAGAGGAACCCACAGCCGGTACAGGAAGGGCTCCGGCGTTCCAGCCTCTCGGGGCGGGGCAAACCACACTCCTATGGCTCCCCAGCTCACGCCATCATCAGCCGTGCACTTTCACACACACAGCACTTTCCGCTGCTGCAGCCAGGACCCGTTTGCTCTGATCAACTACTGTGTTTTAAAAATTTCTGAGGTTTTAAAGTTTAGCATCAAAACTTGCTAGTGGCTAATCCCATGAGAAGACTGGACGCTGCCTCAGGAGGGACTAAAGAGGTTCCTCCAAGGCCCTCAGAGCCTGATTCCCGCAGCTAGCGGTGCTAGGGAGGGGGCTGGAGGCAAGTTTATTCCTGGACGCTCTTCTTTTTTTTTTTTTTTTTTTAATTTTTTATTTTTTTATAATACTTTAAAAGTTCTAGGGTACATGTGCACAACGTGCAGGTTTGTTACATAGGTATACATGTGCCATGTTGGTGTGCTGCACCCATTAACTTGTCATTTACATTAGGTATATCTCCTAATGCTATACCTCCCCTCTCCCCCTTCCCACAATAGCACCTGGTGTGTGATGTTCCCCTTCCTGTGTCCAAGTGTTCTCATTGTTCAATTCCCACCTATGAGTGAGAATATGTGGTATTTGGTTTTCTGTTCTTGTGACAGTTTGCTGAGAATGATGGTTTCCAGCTACATCCATGTCCCTACAAAGCACACAAACTCATCCTTTTTTATGGCTGCATAGTATTCCATGGTATATATGTGGCACATTTTCTTTTTTTTTTTTTGAGAGGGAGTCTCACTCTGTCGCCCAGGCTGGGATGCAGTGGCCGGATCTCAGCTCACTGCAAGCTCCGCCTCCCGGGTTTACGCCATTCTCCTGTCTCAGCCTCCCGAGTAGCTGGGACTACAGGCGCCCGCCACCTTGCCCGGCTAGTTATTTTTTGTATTTTTTAGTTGAGATGGGGTTTCACCTTGTTAGCCAGGATGGTCTCGATCTCCTGACCTCGTGATCCGCCCGTCTCGGCCTCCCAAAGTGCTGGGATTACAGGCTTGAGCCACTGCGCCCGGCCATGTGCCACATTTTCTTAATCCAGTCTGTCATTGATGGACATTTGGGTTGACTCCAAGTCTTTGCTATTGTGAATAGTGCTGCAATAAACATACGTGTGCATGTGTCTTTATAGCAGCATGACTTATAATCTTTTGGGTCTATCCCCAGTAATGGGATGGCTGGGTCAAATGGTATTTCTAGTTCTAGATCCTTGAGGAATCGCCACACTGTTTTCCACAATGGTTGAACTAGCTTACAGTCCCACCAACAGTGTAAGAGTGTTCCTATTTCTCCACATCCTCTCCAGCACCTGTTTCCTGATTTTTTAATGATTGCCATTCTAGCTGGTGTGAGATGGTATCTCATTGTGGTGTTGATTTGCATTTCTCTGATGGCCAGTGATGATGAGCATTTTTTCATGTGTCTGTTGGCTGTATGAATGTCTTCTTTTGAGAAGTGTCTGTTCATATCCTTTGCCTACTTTTTGATAGGGTTGTTTGCTTTTTTCTTGTAAATTTGTTTGAGTTCTTTGTAGGTTCTGGATATTAGCCCTCTGTCAGATGAGTAGATTGCAAAAATTTTCTCTCATTCTGTAGGTTGCCTGTTCACTCTGATGGTAGTTTCTTTTGCTGTGCAGAAGCTCTTTAGTTTAATTAGATCCCATTTGTCAATTTTGGCTTTTGTTGCCGTTGTTTTTGGTGTTTTAGACATGAAGTCCTTGCCCATGCCTATGTCCTGAATGGTATTACCTAGGTTTTCTTCTAGGATTTTTATGGTTTTAGGTCTAACATTTAAGTCTCTAATCCATCTCGAGTTAATTTTCGTATAAGGAGTAAGGAAAGGATCCAGTTTCAGCTTTCTACTTATAGCTAGCCAATTTTCCCAGCACCATTTATTAAATAGGGAATCCTTTCCCCATTTATTGTTTTTGTCAGGTTTGTCAAAGATCAGATGGCTGTAGATGTGTGGTATTATTTCTGAGGACTCTGTTCTGTTCCGTTGGTCTATATCTCTGTTTTGGTACCAGTACCATGCTGTTTTGGTTACTGTAGCCTTGTAGTATAGTTTGAAGTCAGGTAACGTGACGCCTCCAGCTTTGTTCTTTTGGCTTAGGATTGTCTTGGCAATGCGGGGTCTTTTTGGTTCCGTATGAACTTTAAAGCAGTTTTTTCCAATTCTGTGAAGAAAGTCATTGGTAGCTTAATGGGGATGGCATTGAATCTGTAAATTACCTTGGGCAGTATGTCCATTTTCACAATATTGATTCTTCCTATCCATGAGCAAGGTATGTTCTTCTATTTGTTTGTGTCCTCTTTTACTTCACTGAGCAGTGGTTTGTAGTTCTCCTTGAAGAGGTCCTTTACATCCTTTGTAAGTTGGATTCCTAGGTATTTTATTCTCTTTGAAGCTATTGTGAATGGGAGTTCATTCATGATTTGGCTCTCTGTTTGTCTGCTACTGGTGTATAAGAATGCTTGCGATTTTTGCACATTGATTTTGTATCTTGAGACTTTGTTGAAGTTGCTTATCAGCTTAAGATTTGGGGCTGAGACAATGGAGTTTTCTAAATATACAATCATGTCATCTGCAAACAGGGACAATTTGATTTCTTCTTTTCCTAACTGAATATCCTTTATTTCTTTCTCTTGCCTGACTGCCCTAGCCAGAACTTCCAACACTATGTTGAGTAGGAGTGGTGAGAGAGGGCATCCCTGTCTTGTGCCAGTTTTCAAAGGGAATGCTTCCAGTTTTTGCCCATTCAGTATGATATTGGCTTTGTCATAAATAGCTCTTATTATTTTGAGAGATATTCCATCAATAACGAATTTATTGAGAGTTTTTAGTATGAAGGACTGTTGAACTTTGTCAAAGGCCTTTTCTGCATCTATTGAGATAATCATGTGGTTTTTGTCTTTGGTTCTGTTTATATGCTGGACTGCATTTACTGATTTGCATATGTTGAACCAGCCTTGCATCCCAGGGATGAAGCCCACTTGATCATGGTGGATAAGCTTTTTGATGTGCTGCTGGATTCGGTTTGCCAGTATTTTATTGAGGATTTTTGCATCGATGTTCATCAGGGATATTGGTCTAAATCTCTGTCAGGCTTTGGTATCAGGATGATGTTGGCCTCGTAAAATGAGTTAGGGAGGATTGCCTCTTTTTCTATTGATTGGAATAGTTTCAGAAGAAATGGTACCAACTCCTCCTTGTACCTCTGGTAGAATTCGGCTGTGAATCCATCTGGTCCTGGACTTTTTTTGGTTGGTAGGCTATTAATTATTGCCTCAATTTCAGAGCCTGCTATTGGTCTATTCAGGGACTCAACTTCTTCCTGGTTTAGTCCTGGGAGAGTGTATGTGTCCAGGAATTTATCCATTTCTTCTAGGTTTTCTAGTTTATTTGTGTAGAGGTGTTTATAGTATTCTCTGATGGTAGTTTGTATTTCTGTGGGGTCGGTGGTGATATCCCCTTTATCATTTTTTATTGCGTCTATTTGATTCTTCTCTCTTTTCTTCTTTATTAGTCTTGCTAGCAGTCTATCAAATTTGTTGATCTTTTCAAAAAACCAGCTCCTGGATTCATTGATTTTTTAGAGGGTTTTTTGTGTCTCTATCTCCTTCAGTTCTGCTCTGATCTTAGTTATTTCTTGCCTTCTGCTAGCTTTTGAATGTGTTTGCTCTTGCTTCTCTAGTTCTTTTAATTGTGATGCTAGGGTGTCAATTTTAGATCTTTCCTGCTTTCTCTTGTGGGCATTTAGTGCTATAAATTTCCCTCTACACACTGCTTTAAATGTGTCCCAGAGATTCTGGTATGTTGTATCTTTGTTCTCATTGGTTTCAAAGAACATCTTTATTTCTGCCTTCATTTCGTTATGTACTCAGTAGTCATTCAGGAGCAGGTTGTTCAGTTTCCATGTAGTTGAGCAGTTTTGATTGAGTTTCTTAGTCCTGAGTTCTAGTTTGATTGCACTGTGGTCTGAGAGAGAGTTTGTTATAATTTCTGTTCTTTTACATTTGCTGAGGAGTGCTTGACTTCCAACTATGTGGTCAATTTTGGAATAAGTGCGATGTGGTGCTGAGAAGAATGTATATTCTGTTGATTTGGGGTGGAGAGTTCTGTAGATGTCTATTAGGTCCGCTTGGTGCAGAGTTGAGTTCAATTCCTGGATATCCTTGTTAACTTTCTGTCTTGTCGATCTGTCTAATGTTGACAGTGGGGTGTTAAAGTGTCCCATTATTATTGTATGGGAGTCTAAGTCTCTTTGTGAGTCTCTAAGGACTTGCTTTATGAATCTGGGTGCTCCTGTGTTGGGTGAATATATATTTAGGATAGTTAGCTCTTCCTGATGAATTGATCCGTTTACCATTATGTAATGGCCTTCTTTGTCTCTTCTTTGATGAGATGGTTTCTTCTTTGATGTCTCTTCTTTGATGGTTTAAAGTTTGTTTTATCAGAGACTAGGATTGCAACCCTTGCTTTTTTTTTGTTTTCCATTTGCTTGGTAGATCTTTTTCTTTGTTTATCTAAAGAATCACACATCTAAGTGCTGAAGAGGACTTCAGGGGTCGCCTGGTCTAATCTCCACCCCACCAATGAGAAAACTAGTCCAGAGGAGTCCAGGGCTTGCCTGCGTCTGAGATGACCCTGGAGCCGACTGTTGGCACTGGGGCTAAATGGTCAGCACCTTTGGGTCACTGTTCACCTTTGAGAACCCACTTCCTAACAGGATCTGCGGGGTGGTGAGAGCTCGATAAGCACCCATTCCAAGATGTCTATTGAAGGCTGAGTGCCAAGTGGATGGAGTAGAAGAAGAATAGGCTCCCTATTCACACCTGAGAATGCTGGGAGGTTAAAGAACCCCGACACCCCCAGACCAGTGCCCCCAGAAATCAGGGCTCACCTTGGCCTTCCGCAGCACATGTCCTCGGCAGGGGGAGCTGCCCGGGGCCACCTGGCTCTTCTTCAGGACAGCCGCGCTGTTCACCGGCACGGGGCCCTCGGTGTCACTGGTGTCACAGCTGGAGATAGGCGAGTTCTCCAGGGTCCGGTGCCTGAACACTGGAGACTTAACAGAGAGAGAACCCCATGTGAGGAGTGGTTTCTAGGCCACTGGTATTATCCAGCAGGAAAATGATTTATTTCAAGGAAGAAGTAAGTTCTGGAAATGGGCAAAAATCGCAGCAGCAGGAAGGACTGCCAGGCAGTCAGTGCCTCACCCCCAGAGCCCCTCCCAACGTTCACAGCCAGGGGGCAGAGGCTCTGAGGGGCTGGTGGAGGCTCCATGGCTGGGCTCCGACTCCCAGCCATGCCTGGGAAGCGGTGAGGGTGGGATTCCTGCCTGAATCTTTTGCACTCAAAGTGAGGCTCTTCCACGCAGGCTAGTCAGCCCCTTTGTGCAGGGCTTCATGGTTTTCAGAGCTTTTCTGGGGTGAGTGTCCTAGAGATGTTGAAGTCGCAGAAAGCGCCGGCACTCGGGGCAGAACTGGCTCCCGGGATGCAGCCCCATGGAGTGGGGCTCGCGGGAGAAAAGCAGGCTCCATAAGCACAGAGGCCTTCCGAGTGTTTACGGCAGCTTCCATATGCCAAAGGAGGAGGTGTTCAGGGAGACTCAAAATAGAACAACATGTGTCCTGAGCTGCCAACGCCCCCATCGCTGGCTCTTCCGTATGGGATCCCAAACTGCTCTCTGGGAAAAAAATGCCACAGTCTGCTGAGCCTTCTCTCAAATGAAGTCTCCAAGGAAGAGACGCTTCCTAGGATTCCTGCCAAAATGTGTTATGTAAAAAATATTGCTCAGGGTATATGGCACGCTGTTTTAGAACAGTGTTTCAATTACCGTGAAAATGGGCAGCTCAGGGTCCCCTGTGGGCTTTACTGACCACAACCCTCAGGCAGCCAACTTGACTTACGCGGTGGCAGTCCCTGGCTGCCAGGGAGGAAGCCTGGGTAGTGGTGAGTGAACACAATGGAATGATGATGAGGACATCTCTGGCGGGCAGAGGCCAGGCCAGGCTGTGAGTAAAAGGGGCAGGTGACCCGAAAACCTGCATCTCGAGAGGGGTCCACTGAACAAGCCACTCTCCCGAGGACATGGTCTGGGCAGCAGCGGTGCAGAGTGCTTCCCCAGGGGCTGGGACAGAGGACGGCACCAACGACATCCGCCCTCAAAAGAGAGGGGAAGTCGCAAAGCACGGTGGACTGGGACGGGGGAAGCGGAAGTGGCAAGCCAGGCCCAGGCCCCCAAAGGATACTTGGGCCAAAGGAAAAGTGAGGGTGGTGGCGAGGCAGGAGCAGGAAAAGGGGCCCGAGGGAAGCTCGGGTGATGGAAGAACGTGGAGCCACCACAGAAGACAGTGGGCAGCTGTGCCGAAGGGCACCGGATCGGGGAGTGAGGACTAACATGTCTGCTGGAGGGGAATGCCGGGGGTCACCATGACGAAAGCAGGTGCAATGAGAAGCCACACTCGGAAAGTGGAGGTGTCGGGGGGCAGAGGACACTGCAAGCATGGACAACTGCTTCCAAAGTTCACCTTGGAAGGAAAGGCAAGAACACAGGGCAAGGGGACAGTCGCCAGGGGGAGCAGGAGGCCAGACAGAACCTTCTTTTTTTAAGGATGGATTCAACTAGAGAATCCTTAAATGCTTGGAAGAAGCTGACAGAAAAGCTGAAGATACAGGAGAAGGCTCCTCCCAGGTGTCTGGAAGTCAGGAAGGGTCGGATCGAGGCACTGACCAGAGTCCAGGAAGCCCAGCCCCTCCACTCAAACAGGACCAGAGGACAGGGGTGGGACAGCTCCTCAGAGCATCCTGCACTGCCACCACCCTCCATGCAGGACACAGGACAAGCAGCACAGGGGACTGTGTGTACTCCTGCCTCAGATCACCACAGACGGAGGGGCACAGGGCTCTATGAAGCAGGCAAAGACCCCTGCCCTCTCCCAGCCAATGCCCACAGCTTCACTGCCACCCTCACTGCACCTGACCCCACTATGCTCTTGTCCTCATTTCTGCTGGATGAGGGGCTAGGGACACCCAAGGCACCTCCTGGTCCTTGGATTCCAATTCCCCCTGCACCCCTCCTCCTCAGCCCTGCTTCACTGTTGCCACAGATCTGTCCGCATCTGACACCAATGTATTTTATTGGTTTGCCTCCCTCACGAGAACATAAGCTCCATGAAACGGGGATTCTCACCTATCTTGTTCACAACTGCAGGCCTGGAGTAGTTTGTAGCACACAGAGGGAGAACAGAACATGGGCTGGGCACGGTGGCCCCCGCCGGTAACCACAGCGACTCAAGAGGTGAGGTGGGAGGAGCACTTGAGCCCAGGAGTTCAAGAAGGATCACAGCATATGCATATGTGTGTACACACACACCTTTATATATTAAATAGTATGTATCTCGCATAAATAATTGTATTTCATATATAATATATAAATAATTGTTGAATTTATATGATTTTATGTAATACATAATGTATATAATGACATCAACAAGCAATTGTTGGATGAGTGGAATGAATGAATGCAGGCATGTATACGTTTGGGAAGACGTGAACGAACACAGGTCCTTCGGTGAGCACTGTGCCAAAAGCCTCTGCACACACAGTCCTGTGCAGCGGCCATTATTATTTTCTCCATTTTACAGATGAAAAACTCAGGGCCTAGAGAAGTCCAGTGATTTTAAGCCCTGGTCTGTGTGACCCCAGAGCCGCCTCTTGAACACCCGAAAGAACAGTGCACAAGTGGCTGGGTTTGTGGTTTGAGGACAGAGCAGTGACCTCGCTGCTTGCTCAGCTCTGCAGGCAAGAGGGAGGTTGTCCTCTGGGTTGGAGGTGATGGCTGGGGTGCCACAGAAGCCTGGTGCAGGGATGGGGGGCTTGTAAGAGAAGGGGAGAGTAAGGAAGAGCAGGCCGTACAGGGGGTGCCCGGCAGGGGCCAGCAGGTGACTGAAACTCAGGGCTGTTGTCAACCCATAAACGTGTCAGTCTTCCCCACAAACCCGCCCAAGGCTCATGTGGAGCAGCGGTGGGTTCAACCAGGCTCAGCGTTTTACCAGGGGGTTGGGAACCAAGGATCTAGAAGGGAAGCATTCAGGACGCAGTGGGTGGGGACCCAGGGGCACCCGCGGTGTTTTGGCTGGGACAGGGGCTGAAGTCCAGCCGTCCCTCACCGGCTGCCTGTTCTGTCTGCCCTGCAGGTGTGTTTACTCCTCTGGGCCCAGTGCCTCCCTCACTCAGTGGAAGTGACGGCATCCAACTCACAAGACAGGAGGCTCAACAGAATGACCAAGTGGAGAAGACATCTAAGTCCTCAGCGACCTCGCCGAATCAGTGAAGAGGAACCAGGGACGGGGAAGACTCACGAGGGAAGAGGAGACCGCTTTGTTCTGTTCGATTCTAAGAGGACACAGACCGCGCCATTCACTTCAGTTTCCCCAGCACCTGGCTTAACTGTCAGACATGCTCGACGGTCTATAAGGACTGGCTACCTAATGAACCGGTGTCAAATTAGGACCTGGTTCAGAAGAGACATGAGGACTGGATCTGTTCTAAACAGATGGTGCAAAGGGGAAAGGCACAGACTCAGTGTTTCCATGCCTTTTAACATTTCAGCGAGAGGTAAGAAAGCATGTCGGGAACACACGCCCGGCTGATGAAAGTGTCTGATGCTAACACATGAACTGTCTTCTGCTGGGCACACTAAGGGGCCACAAGCAAGCTACGCCCCAGAGCCACTCCACATTCTCTCTGGGTGCACCGGCTCTTGGTCATGCGAGGCCGCGCCAGCCTCCAAGGTGAGCCAGAAGGACACACACCTGTGGATTCGATGTTCCTGACTTGGGCTCGATGGCCAGCCCCAGGGTGACTCCGCCCGCCAGTGCTTTCTTCAGGCTCTCCTTGACCTCCGTCAGCTCCAGCTCCAGGCTGACACGCTCTGCCTCCTTCTGCCGGCACTCCTCCTCCAGCTGCTTCAGCTTCTCCTCCAGAATCGCCTGTGGCTTCCTGCCTGGAATTCCCAGAAACGCCCTTACTCCTGCGGCCGGCACAGGCTCTCCAAACAACAGAGAAGGCACCTGCTCCCCGAAAAGAACTTCCACAAAATGTCTGAGGTTGAGCTCCCCTGACTTCGGTCCTCGTTGCAAAACTTAAATTCAGCAGTTCTCTAAGGGAGCAGAATCCTTCTCCAGCCACTTCCCTTTGCTGCAGCTGTGAGGACTCGGACCAGGCAACAGGAGACGCTGATTCTCACCAAGGCTGGGAGCTCCTGGCTCTGGGACTCAATGTACTCATTTTGAAACGTGGACCCTAAACTCCACAGTTCCTGAAGCTGCCACTGCATTGGGGTGTGAACCCCGTCCTTCCCTAACGCTCCACCGATCCCTCTGTCATCTTATTTGCCCCCGAGGCAATGAACAGTAGCACAGCTGGCATCTCTACTGGACACGGCACACGTTTCTTTAAGGAACGTTCACTTATTTTATTTGAGGTTTGCTGCAGTAACCTAAGACGCACCCACTGGACAGATGACAACATCAGTCCTAAGAGGTGAACAGACTTGTGCCCAGGGCCTGGGCCGGTGCTGGCCAGCAGGCGAGGTTCTCTTTTTCAAAGCCAAAAGCACCCCTGGCCTTCCTGCATCTTCACTATCCTGCAGGCTTGGAACACTAACCCACTCTTACTAACCCACCCTCACCCACTAATCCACTCTTAACCCACTCTCACCCACTAACCCACTCTCACCCGCTAACCCACTCTCACCCACTAACCCACTCTTACTAACCCACTCTTACCAACTAACCCACTTTCACCCACTCTTACTAACCCACTCTCACCTGCTAACCCACTCTCACCCACTAACCCACTCTTACCCACTAACCCACTCTTACTAACCCACTCTCACCCACTAACCCACCCTCACCCACTAACCCACTCTCACCCACTCTTACTAACCCACTCTCACCCGCTAACCCACTCTCACCCGCTAACCCACTAACCCACTCTCACCCACTAACCCACTCACATCAACTAACCCACTCTTACCCACTCTCACTAACCCACTCTCACCCACTAACCCACTCTTACTCTGACCCACTAACCCACTCTCACCCACTAACCCACCCTCACCCACTAACCCACCCTTACTAACCCACTCACCAACTAACCCACTTTCACCCCCTAACCCACTCTTACTAACCCACTCACACCAACTAACCCACTCTCACCAACTGACCCACTCACACCCACTAACCCACTTACTAACCCACTCTCACCCACTTACCCACTCTCACCCACTCAAACCAAGTAACCCACTCTCACCAAATAACCCACTAACCCACTCTCACCAACTAAAGCACTCACACCAACTAACCCACTCTTACTAACCCACTCTCACCCACTCACACCAACTAACCCACTCTTACTAATTAACCCACTTTCACCAACTAACCCACTCTTACAAGCCCACTCTCATCCACTAACCCACTCTCACCAAATAACCCACTCTTACTAACCCACTCTCGCCCACTCTCACCCACTAACCCACTCTTACTCTCACCAAATAACCCACTCACACCAACTAACCCACTCTTACCCACTAACCCACTCACTCTCACCCACTAGCCCACTCTTACCAAATAACCCACTAACCCACTCTCACCAATTGACCCACTCACCCACTCTTATTAACCCACTCTCACCAAATAACCCACTAACCCATTCACATCAACTAACCCACTCTCACCAACTCACCCACTCACCCACTCTCACGCACTCCCACCCACTCACACCAACTAACCCACTCTTACTAACCCACTCTCACCAAATAACCCACTCTCATCCACTAACCCACTCACACCAACTCACCCACTCCCATCCACTCACACCAACTCACCCACTCTCACTCACTAACCCACTCTCACCCACTCACACCAACTAACCCGCTCTTACTAACCCACTCTTACCAAATAACCCACTAACCCACTCTCACCAATTGACCCACTCACCCACTCTCACCCACTCTTATTAACCCACTCTCACCAAATAACCCACTAACCCATTCACATCAACTAACCCACTCTCACCAACTCACCCACTGCCACCCACTCTCACGCACTCCCACCCACTCACACCAACTCACCCACTCTCACCAAATAACCCACTCACACCAACTCACCCACTCCCACCCACTCACACCAACTCACCCACTCCCACCCACTCTCACTCACTAACCCACTCTCACCCACTCACACCAACTAACCTGCTCTTACTAACCCACTCTTACCAAATAACCCACTAACCCACTCTCACCCACTCACACCAAGTAACCCACTCTTACCAACTAACCCACTCACACCAAATAACCCACTAACCCACTCTCACCAACTAAAGCACTCATACCAACCCACTCTTACTAACCCACTCTCACCCACTCACACCAAGTAACCCACTCTTACTAAGCCACTCTTACTAATTAACCCACTTTCACCAACTAACCTACTTTTACTAGCCCACTCTCACCAAATAACCCACTCTCACCCACTGACCCACTCTCACCCACTGACCCACTCACACCAACTAACCCACTCTTACTAAGCCACTCTTACTAATTAACCCACTTCATCTAACCCCCTCTTACTAGCCCACTCTCACCAAATAAACCACTAACCCACTCTCACCCACTAACGCACTCCCACTCACACCAACTAACCCACTCTTACTCTCACCAAATAATCTACTCTCACCCACTAACCCACTCACAACTAACCCACTCTTACTAACCCACTCTTACTAATTAACCCACTTTTACCAACTAACCCACTCACACCCACTCTTACCCCACTCTCACCCGCTAACCCACTCTCACCCACTAACCCAACACCAACTAACCCACTCTTACTAACCCATTCTTACTAATTAACCCACTTTCACCAACTAACCTACTCTTACTAACCCACTCTAACCCACTAACCCACTCTTATTAACCCACTCTTACTAATTAACCCACTTTCACCAACTAACCCACTCTTACTAACTCGCTGTCACCAAATAACCCATTCACACCAACTAACCCACTCTTACTAACTAACCCACTCTCACCCACTAACCCACTCACCAACTAACCCACTCTCACCCACTAGCCCACTCACCAACCCACTCTTGCTAACCCACTCACCAACTAACCCACTCTCACAAATAACCCACTCTAACTAACCCACTCTTACCAACTGACACCAAATCACCCACTCTTACTCTCACCCACTAACCCACTCTCACCAACTAACCCACTTACTAATCCACTCTCTCCCACTAGCCCACTCTCACCAACTAACCCACTCTTGCTAACCCACTCACCAACTAACCCACTCTCAACAACCCACTCTCACCAAATAACCCACTCTAACCCACTCTTACCAAATAACCCACACTCACCAACTAACCCACTCTTACCAACTCACACTCATCAAATCACCCACTCTTACTCTCACCCACTAACCCACTCTCACCAACTAACCCACTTACTAACCCACTCTCTCCAACTAACCCACTCTCACCCACCAGCCCACTCTCACCAAATAACTCACTCTCACCAACTAACCCACTAACCCACGCTCACCCACTCACCAACTAACCCACTCTCACCCACTAACCCACTCTCACCCAATAACCCACTCTAACCCACTCTCACCAACTAACCCACTCTTACCAACTCACTCTCACCAAATCACCCACTCTTACTAACCCATTCTTACTAACTCACTCTCACCCACTAACCCATTCTCACCAACTAACCCACTTACCCACTAACCCACTCTTACCAACTAACCCACTCTCACCAACCCACCCATTCTTACCAAATAACTCACTCTTACCAAATAAATAACCTACTCTTACTCAATAAAATGGCAGCCTTGGTGAGCAACAGGTCCTTTGGGCAAAGCAGAATGAAATCTCCAGTCTCCAATACAAACATGCACCCTGGGCAGTCACCCGCATCCTTCATACCTGCGTTCACTTCGATGGCCGCTCGAAGGTCTTTTCTTTCCTTGCGGAGCTGGGCCAGCCTATTCCGCAGGACCTCTTTCCTCTTCAGCAGCTCCTCTTCTTTGGTCTGTAGCCGCTTGGCGTCTGCTTCTACCCGGTTCTTGCCGTACTTGTACTGGGCAGCATCTCGAGAAGAAAAAAAAGCAGCCATTAAAAATTAGGTTTACTAGCCTGGGAAACATGGAACGATCCCTTCTCTACAAAAAATAAAAAATTAGCCAGGCGTGGTGGCACATGCCTGTAGTCCCAGCTACTCAGGAGGCTGAGGTGGGAGAGTCGCTTGAGCCGGGGAGTTTGAGGCTGCAGTGAGCTGTGATTCTGCCACTGTGCTCCAGCCTGGATGACAGTGAGACCCCATGTCAAAAAACATTAGGTTTATTCAAGCAGACAATGGGGGAACTCAAAAAGCCTGTTTAATCAGCCAACTGAGTAAACAAACACACAGCCAGTTACTGTGCTAATTCAGTAAGAAAAAGGACAGGGCTGGTTTGAACTAAGCAGAAAAACGACTAGTTCAAATTCTCCAATATTCTTTGAATCAAATTTTTAAACACAGAATATTAGGAGATTCCTTTAACTCACTTCCCTTTGAGGCACATGGCTTATAATTAATCTCAACAAGGTGGAGTGTGAACATTTTATAACAGACACAGGAGTCGATTACTATCAAAAGTAATGTCTGAAATCTGCTTCCTTCTCTACCATCTTCAAACACCTCCATAACCCTGCAGTATCTGTTCCTTACGGTCATGTCATCTGCCTGGCTCTGAATTCATCTGAATTGCTGCTACACCCCCAGCACTGAGATCAGCACCTGGCACGGAGAGTGCCACAATAAATGCTTGTTTAGTGACTAAGTGAACAGCAGATACATGAAGAGGCAGCCAGGAGCAGTATCTGGAGCCTGACCGTCTAGGAAGGAGTCCCAGCTTGTACGTGTAGCTGCATGACCTGGAACAGGGCACGAAATCCCTCTGTGCCTCAGTTTCCCTTATCTGTGAAATGGGGATAGTAATGCACTGAGTGGTTGCAAGGATTAAATATTTATAAAGCACTTAGAACAAACACAAAAATGGGCAATACATAAATGCTTATTTCATAAAATGAATAAATGAAGAGGAAACTAGCCAAAGGGAAAATTCACAGACTTGGCAACATCACACCACCCGTGAAAACGGCTTTCAAAACCTGGCCCCACGCTCTCTTCCTCTTATTATGTGGGCCTTTTAATAACAGTAATTTAGGACAACACCTCTTTGTTAAGACACATGGAAGAAATGAAGGTTCTAACAAAACTCAGATGGAGGATAACCGATTTCAAAGCTTCCGAGATCTCTCAGTCGCTTCTAACAATCACTCACACCTGAGGGCAACTCCCAGGGCTTCCTGACCGCACACCCCACACGTCTGACTCCCTCGCAAGGCTAGAAACTACTTCAGGTAGAAGCCACGGGGGTGGCATGATGGTTAAGAACAAAAACACTGGACTCAGGGAGGTGGCTAGAAACCCACACTCCACCCTCCCTTGCTACGTGACTCTGCAAGCAATCTCTGGAGCAGCTCAGCTTCACCCTCTCTAAAGCAGAAACGAGAAGGAATCCCGTGTGTGTGCATGCATGTGCACATGTGCGTGTGTGAGTGTGCACATGTGCACGTTTTAAATGAGACGTGTGTGTGTGTGTTTTAAATCAGAAACATATATCTGAAAAAAATCTAACAAAATAACATGATGCCTGACGTAGTGGACACTGACAATTCTTACCATATCGGCGATAAGTGATTCCCAGAGCCTTGTCCTCTCAGGGACAGCAGGGAGCCATTTCTAGCACCTGTCCTAAATGCTGGATTTGCCAATGCTTGCAATGTAAGCCATCACGATTTCAATGAAATACTGCATTTATGAAGGTATAAAAAGTGATCACTCCCCAGTCAATTTTCCCCTAACCAAAAGAAACACATAGAATGACAGCAAAAGGGTCAGCAGCCTGAGGAGAGGCGAAGCACTCAACAACCTGAAACGAAAGGGTCACTGTTCGCAGCTAAAATAACGACATATTTTGCAAACAGGGGCAAGTCCGAACTCTACTCACTTATTTCTAAAGTAAGCTGTTTTCCCAACAAACGCAATGCAATAACCTATAAATCTCCACATCTTTTGGTCCCCATGTAATCTCATCTAATCTATAATGTAAGTGGCTGGATTCAGCAAAAACACGGAATGCCATTATTTTTCTCTTTTGTCACCATTAGATGTCACCAAAGTTAATAAAAACTCCCTACAGAAGGTCTCATAAAATAAAGGAATAAATCATCTAGAAAATAAAGTCAGCACAGGTACTGACAGAGAAACACCATGGCGAATGAGACTCCGTGGGATTCGGATTTTGCTTTTAATAAACCTTTCCGGGTGTGAGCTGCTCCTCTCCCCCATCTGCCCCTTCCCAAAGAAACAACACGAAAAGAGGTGAAAGTAAATACACCCAACACATTCAGGAAATAAGATTTGCCAGATAAGGTCAAAGGAAGTTAGTACATTAAACAAATGGGGGTAGGAGGGAGGCTTTGGCCCAACTGGCTCCAACCTATCTGGTCAACATGCATGTTGGGTGGAACAGAGGTGGAGAAAAGCTTAGGTCAGGGATGTACACCCTTCCTCGGGGCAAGACGCCGCCTGGTCCTGCGGAGCGATTCCAAGCCTCGTCCACAAACATGGCCAAGGACACTGCCAGCCTCTCCATTCCCCTATGTGGATACTCTGACTCCAAAACCAGAACCACAGGGCAAAGGGATGTCGGCACGTGCCGGTATGAGAGCCTCTCTCTGCGGCAGCTGGCGTGGGGGTTACCAGCTGGGGCTAGCCAGACTCATCTTCATTAGCACAGAGACTGGTCTACCAGTTGCACAGATCCAGATTCGAAAATCTCGGGTACAAATCCCAAGAGGCGATGGCATGTAACCACATCAAACTCAACATCTGCACCTAACTCCCACCTTCTTCCTCTGGGAAATCTTCCTGGACATGCCCAGATGGACTCAGGAGGCCCTCACCTGTAAATCCCCACACTGCAGCCCTACCACTTGCTTGTCTGCATGTGTGGATCTGTTGGACTGAAGCTGCCAGACAGCAACTACTTTAGTGTATCTTTGAGTCCCTTGAGTGAAAAAATGCTGCCTGGCTGGCTCCCTGATTAGACATCCAACATAATGAGGACTAATGCAAACACAAACACTTAAGAGATGCCATATCACCCCAGATGGATCTAGTGGAGGCAAGGGAAGAAGGTGCTGGGTACAGGCAGGCTGAGTCTCTCATATCTTAATGCTTCTCTGCCCAATCTATTTTCGGCTGGATGTGGAGTTTGAAAGCCTGGCACCCACTCTGGCTCTGTGATGTACCAGCTGTGAGCCCTCGGGAGAGCTGCTTACTCTCTTGGTTATTCTTTTCTCATTTCTATGATGGGGTAAAGGATAATGCCTATGCTTACAAAGTGGCTGTGTTTAGTAAACCGGATTGCATAAGAATGGCTTGCTGTGGACACAGGCACCGCAGGACTAACCATTCCTCAGAACTCCTCGTACTGCTCTGGTGCTTTGAGGTCCGTGTACTACCTCAGTTATCCCAGCTGCGCCAACTGCAGGAGCCACGTGTCTATGTCTGACAGAAAAAGATGCTGAGTTTAGAGTTTGCACGGCTTGTCAACCACAGATCAGGGACCAGAGTTGAGGTCTCCTGACCTGGAGTCCAGGGCTACCTGGAGCTGCAAGCAACTTGCACTCACAACTGCCTCCTATTTTGAAATGCTGAGTCAATCCCACAGGCAGCAAACCAATTCTGGGCTTCAATTTACAAGCACAGTCAGAAAAGCTGGGTTGAATTCGCCACTGTCCTTCCACGTGGCCGATGAGGAAGGATGACGGTGCCCATCGCTCCGTCTCTCCAGCTGACCCCAACCTGGCACTCACTGGTGGGCAGGCTCAGACAGGCCCGGCTCCACCAAGTGCGCTTGAAGCCAGAATGCAAGACATCCAATGGTATACTTACTCGAAGCTGTCCTTTTCACACCAGCCGCAGGATCCGCTTTTTTCGGCTGACTGCTCAGAGTCTTCCCTTTTCCTGTGACCCCATTAGATGCCACGGGGGGCTTTTTACCCTTGAGCTGTTGAAATAAACATATAAGAACATGAAAAATAAACACACAGTCGAACAAATCTTGGTCTTTTTTTTTTTTCCTGCAGTTGTTTCTTTCAGTCTCTGACTCTTAAGTACTAGAGAAACTAGTATCGGTGCGGAAAAAAATGAATGTGAAAGAAAACCAAGATGGTAGGCCGGGCGCGGTGGCTCAAGCCTGTAATCCCAGCACTTTGGGAGGCCGAGACGGGCGGATCACGAGGTCAGGAGATCGAGACCATCCTGGCTAACACGGTGAAACCCCGTCTCTACTAAAAAATACCAAAAACTAGCTGGGCGAGGTGGTGGGCGCCTGTAGTCCCAGCTACTCGGGAGGCTGAGGCAGGAGAATAGCGTGAACCCGGGAGGCGGAGCTTGCAGTGAGCTGAGATCCGGCCACTGCATTCCAGCCTGGGCGACAGAGCCAGACTCCGTCTCAAAAAAAAAAAGAAAAAGAAAAAGAAAACCAAGATGGTTTCCAAACACTGGGCTGCTGGGATTCTGGGGAATGGCTAAGGAGGGTGTGGCAGAGGCTCTGTAGGATGTGCTCCGCTGGAATGCTGCGGAAGTGACCCCTGTCTACTGGCAGATCGCAAATGCTAACCAAGCTGGCACAGGCAGCTGTACCCCAGAGCACTCAGCTCAGAGGAGGAGTGTGTGTTTCTGAGGATCAACAGCTTTTATTTCAGTGGGATGCCTTTTAGGAGAGGAGCACGACCCTGCAGTGTGAGTTCTGCTGCTCCAAGTGCTTTGACACTGAGTGACATCCTAATGGGGTAAGTGACCGCCTTCTTACTTGCTGATGGAGTCCACGGAAGGAAGCAAAAGAAGCATAACACAGATGCAGCAGCAATAATAGGGAAACTAAACTTCCACTAACTACAGGTTTCTGAAACAGGGAAACAGTACTCTACCCCTGAGATTGATACAGGCCAACACGTTTTGCATTTTGCTGAAGTGACCTTATGTGTAGCTTAGTTGTGTGATTAACTCAGCACGACGGCAAAGGCTCACTCCAGCATCCACGCCCATGCTTTTTTCCATGATACGTTTCCTTCTGTTGCAGGCCTCGGTTTTTGGGAGGCAGAGAGATCTAGCTCCAAATTCTGGCTCTGTCATTTAGGAGATGTTGAGCAAGTTCTTTAAACTTTCTGAGCCCCCATTTGATCATTTAAAAATGTAAAGAGATATCTCCCCACAGGGTTCCTAAAAAGATCAGATGGTGTGCCATACACGGATGAAGCATATGGCACGTAAGTGCTCAGAAAAGTGCAAGGTCTCGCCAGTAAGCAATAGGCTCCCATTAAAATGACCAAATGAGGACAGGAAACCCAGAGGTCATGGAATTTAACTTGCAAAAGTGTTTCCTATTTCAACAAAAACAAAAGGGAGCAATAATAACAAAAACTCCACATGGGAACCATACATCGAATGATTCTCAACCCATGTGGGGACAATCCAAGTGGGCAAGATGGCCAACTGTGGCAGGGTTTACGACTCTAATGCCAATAAAAAGACAGGTAGAAACGTAGACAGATACACATTCACTTAATAAATACAACACATAACCTGCCAACTTTTTGGCGTTAAGTCCTCAAAAGAGGCCAACGGCTCCCCTACCCCTGCCCCCCAACTACACTTGGCTCAGGGCCCCTCAGACTCACTGAATGGGAATTCCCAGGGATGGGATCTGAACAACCATCATGAAAAATCAAAAACCAACACCAACCTGCGCATCTGACTTTTGATGAAGCCAACCTATTGGGAGTTAGTGTTCTCAGTCACTACTATCTACAATTCTACAATTTTATCTGGTTCATTATTTTCTTAAGACTTTCCAAAGAATGGAGAAAAAAACAAAGACCTAAAACATACCCATCTGCTGTATGTTCATATTCTTACATATGGGCTTAGGTCTTTAGGCAAAGCATAAAAAATCCTTAGGTTAAACATGTATAAGCCGGGCACAGTGGCATGTGCCTGTTGTCCCAGCTACTTGGGAGACCAAGGCAGGAGGATCACTTGAGCCCACAGTTCAAGTCCTGCCTGGGCAACATAGTGAGACTTCATCTTTTTTTTTTTTTTTTAAAAGGCCTAACACTACAAAATTACTCTGAAATGTTACTGTTTGCCATAAATACAGGGTGTGCAATGGACAACAGTTCAACATCACGGTTATTATTGTTCAATGGTCATCAAAAGTCCTTATTATCATTGTCTAGTTTTGGAGAGTATACCTTTAGACTTGTCATGGAGAAACACTATCGTACTCTGAATAATCTATTTCATGTTTAAAGATCAAAAGCAATGACTACACAGAGTCAACCCTTCCTCATTACGTGTAATGGAAACATGCTAAAGAAACTGGCCGTTCAAGAATCTTCTGGAAGGTTTTACTACCCGTTTCTTTTAAATTCTCTTCCTTTAGTTGACATAATTCACAAAATTTCACTGGGGAATTTTCCAAGAACAGAAAGAGAGCCAGATGTGGGCAAAGAAACGCAGTGCTCAGATAAACCATGAGCTCGTTAGAAATATCTCATCAGTTCCTTGGTAGTCAGGCTGCAAATTATATTCTAGTTGAGGGAAAAAAAAAACAAACCATTACGCTTTGCCTTTGATGAGTCCCATTTACTACAAGCTGCAAAACTCTGTTGGAGCAATGTGACTTGAAGGTGGTTCTAGAATCTTACAGAAGAAGATGCCGTACCTGCGAGTTGAGCCCGAGAGACGCCCTCCCCACAGAAGAGGTATTAGTGACAGACTGAGCGGAGGCGGGGTATTTGTAATGGTTAGAGGACAGCTTGTCAGCAGACAGCCTAGAGGCCTTTCTGTCAGCAGAAGAGTAGCGGGCAAAGATTTGCGGAGGCGGCAAGTTATCGTACAGGCCTGCGTTATCATAAAGCACCTCTTCTCCCAAGCCTCTGCTGCAGGAAGCAGGAAAGCCGTCTTCCGGTTCCCACTGCAACACACACAGCTTTGTGGTTAGTGACTTAGACACAGAAAACAGCAGCTTTTAGCACAGTGAGATGTCATTCATTAATAGTATAGCATTTAGCATAGCATGGTACCCCAACATTCTGCACACAGATTGCAGTTGTTATCAACGAGGCATGCACCCCCCAACACACACACATACACAAACCCAACATAAGCCTGCAGACTGATTCAAAAGGACTGGACTTCTGAAGCCTTATGGAAAAATTTCTTTTTTTCCTTAAACCATTCCCAGAACCCTTGGATTATGAAGTTTTTGTTTTGTCCTGTCTTTTAAAGAGAAGAAGCAATGTTGATTTGGCATTTTCTTCTTTAGAGAACCTGGGGTTCAGAAATTCCCCTAGTGCAGGACGTGGATGTGAGGGGAGGAACGAGCACGGGACTAGGGTCCTGGTGCTCTGGGTCTATACGAAGACACACGAGGGCCAAGCGGAGCACTCGATGCTTTTCACAGCACTTCCCAAGTCCTGGGTGCTGACTTCATCTCACAGTCATCCGGGGATAGAGGGGGAAATGGAAGCAGAGACAGGCCCTAGAGCCGGTGAGTGGCAGAGCGGAGGGAAGGGCGCGCTCATCCCAGCACAGTACTGCCTCTAAGCCTCGCACTCCTTCTGGGGACATGAGACCATCTGCAGGCTCCTCCAAGCCCCTGTGCAGGAGTCAGTGACCCAAGTCCTACGGGAACTGTCAACACACACCCTCTGTCCCCTACTCTGTACTGAAGAAAGTGCCACAACCAACACAACCAAAACGGTCTGTGAGAAGAGAAATCAAATCCTCATAGAAAATTAGATGCTTCCAAATCTAACCGATACAATGGTATTATTTTAGCAGAAAATCTCTAACCAAGGACTAAAATAGTGACGTGCCACTGCATGGGACAGAGGAATCTGAGAACATGGACATTAAAGTGTTAACTCAAAAACTGATAACCACAGCCACGGCCTTTTCAGGGTTAAAGGTCTTTATAAATTGCCTGGCATGACAAGAAAGGCAATATTAATTCCTCTCTTATATCCATTTTACCCGGCTGAGTCTTCCTGCACAGTCCTTTCTGCCAGACGGTAATTACAACCTTTTGTTATAAAAATAGAAAAGACTTAAAATTCTGCAGTAGGAGTGTCTGTATTCCTCCGCAATCACTTCAATGTGTCTATTTTTGTGATCTAAAAATAACGGTCCCTGCAGATAAACTCGGATATGAGAGTTTCATAATGACGACCTAGCATATATTTGTCCAGAGTTATTAAAATGGTCTAGACGAGACTATCATTTTCCTAAAATATCAAAGATTAAGTCACATGGAAGACTCAGAAAAACACTTACAGCGACCTCATAGAAGTTTCTAAAGTATGAGTGTACATACTTTCATCTCAGTCTAAGCATCATGGGGTAACACTGAATGGGTAAACATAACTAAAGCTGAAACAGCGTTATGATCCTAGATATTAGGTCATAAAAATGAACTTCTTTTTTTTTTTTTTTTTTTTTTTTTTGAGACGCAGTCTTGCTCTGTTGCCCAGGTTACAGTGCAGTGGTGCAATCTCAGCTCACTACAGCCTCCACCTCCAAGGCTCAAGCGATTCTCCTGCCTCAGCCTCCTGAGCAGCTGGGATTACAGGCATCCACCACCATGCCCGGCTAATTTTTGTATTTTTAGTAGAGATGGGGTTTCACCATGTTGGCCAGGATGGTCTTGAACTCCGGGGCTCAAGTGATCTGCCCACCTCTGCCTCCCAAAGTGCTGGGATTACAGGCCTGAGCCATCACGCCTGGCTATAAATATGAACTTCTAAAAACCTAGAAATGAGGCCCTCCAAAAAGAGAAGAGCTGGTAACAGAGCCGAATACACAGAAAATAGTTTCAGGAAGGGCCTGAGCAGAGGAAGGCCTAATAAGCAAGGAAGCCACAAACATGTAAAGCATATTATGTCCTAAAGGCGGCTATCTCCAGCCCAGCAATACACACACACAAACAATTCCTACGTGCAGAGCCCTTTAGGAATGGCAGACCTTTGTTTCTACAACAGATTAAGCGGTGAATAACTTAAGGAACACTCGCTCCTGGGGCTGGCCTGTAGAGTGTCCTAACAGTCTGAAGACAACGTGCTGGGTGGAGCCGGACGATCACGTGCGTGGTTCCACAGGGTGACGACAGCATCCAGCTCACCGTCACAGGTTCGTGTGTAAGGCGTGCATGGAAGAAACGTCTCTGAGGAAAAGGCGTGTGAAAGGGTCTTTGGGTGGGACGGGCCAGGCGTAGGCTCAGAGAAGTGGATGGTTCTCAGGATGCAGATGAGTGCAGTAACTGGAGTCTAAACCCAGTGATAAGACTGCTGTCAAGAGATGCTGGAGTGACACAGGGCAAATGGAGGCAGAAGAGCGGGTCCCACCTCAAGAAGGACTCAGAGGCCAGAATCGAGGGCAGGGACTAGCCTGAGAGCCCTACTTCACAGGGTACTGTGGTGCCATCTTAAGCAGGAAGAACTTGCCACAAGACCTGCCCAGGGGTGAAGCGCTGTGGTGACTGGACACCCAGAGACACCCCAGGGAGGATTGGCTGAGGGGGAAAGGAGGAGATTCACTGGACCTGATACCCCTCTGCCTAAGATGGGGAGCTCTACTGGATGGACTCTGAAGCTAGGATGGGATCCAAAAGTGGCTCTGTTTGCCCCATGCCACCCTATCCTAACATGGGACCTATGAGCGGGCCCTGCCCTGCCCAGAGCCCAGGAAGCTCTCCCCGCTCCTATGTCTGTTTCCCTCCCAGGTCCACTCACTCCCACGAGACTCAGAGGCCCTTTCAGGACAAAGATAATCGCTTCGCTTCGCCATTTCTTCTTCAACTGGCACAGTCTGGCCCCTGGGAGACACCCAGCCAATGAGGCAAGGGAGAGAGGACTGAGGAGGGAAGGGGGCAGACGAAGTGATGAAAAGATCCCTTTTTAGAATCAGATGGGGCCTCGCACAGCAAGGGCGGCCTCCCCCACGGGAACCCCAGGGCAGGTCCAGAGTGGCAGGAAGGAGGAGGCGGCCAATGGGAAGGCAATTGAGCCCCAGGGACACACCACGTCCATCATGGCTCCTGAGGGATGGGCCACCCGCTTCTGACCCCGGCCACGAGAACCTGCTTTCAGTTTGTTTATGCTCCTGAGCACTGGGGGTCCTCAGCCCCTCTCTTCCCTCAAGGAGGCTGTTGTCTCCTGGTTCCTGCTGTGGGGCAGCTATGAATTTACGGTGCCAGGGCTGATTGAGGACGTTCATCGGAATATCAGGGAAAAGACTGGAGAAGCAAAACAGTAAGAAAAAAGTCTGACATACCTTCCAAGGCTGGAAAACACAACAATAAATTTACTTTATGTCTACCTTTGAAAATTATCTTAACATAGATGCCAATTTCAAACCCTTCCAGTACTGGGAGACAAATGGCATAGTGGTTTCTCATAAGCCTCCTTCATTCATCCGCTAACTGTGAAGGCCTCATCTCTGAACGCCCAGGGCCGGGCACCGTGCCTGGATCAGACAGGATGCTCAACACGTGGTTGTGAGATGAGTAACAGGCAGACACCGTAGAACCAGCACCTGTTGATGAGGCCTGCTGATGACACATATGACACAACATGCTGAGAACAGACTTCAGAACTCCTAAGGCCAGGCACACCCTGGAGGCCAGTGTAACAGAAAGCTGTGACTGAAGACTCCTGCATGGATAGATGGACATATGGATATACAGATAGCGCTGTGCCGGGAGCCAGGAGCCTGGCCGCTCCAAATCCACCCCAAGGGAAGCTGTCGAATTTGTAATGTGATCATTCCTCTATGTTATCATTTCCTTCCTGAGGGGATTTCTCAGCATTTTAATCCCATCGGGAAATAACTATTCATCGATAACTTAAACTGTGTTATGTTTTGATTTAACAAGTTATCCAAGTATTACTCTAACATGCTCTCCTTTAGTCAACATTTTAGTGGGCTGACACGTTTAATTAGTGACAGTGACATTAAGCCAGGCACAGTGGCTCATGTCTGTAATCCCAGCACTTTGAAAGTCTGAGGTGGGAGGATCACTTGAGCCCAGGAGTTCAAGACTGGCCTGGCCAATATAGGGAGATCCCATCTCTACTAAAAACCAACAAATGAGTGGGATGTGGTGGTGTGCACCTATGGTCCCAGGTACTTGGGAGGCTGAGGTAGGAGGATCGATTGAGCTCGGGAGGTTGAGCTATAGTGAGTTGTGACTGCACCACTGCACTCCAGCCTGGGCAACAGATGAGGACCCTACCTCAACACCAACAGGAAAATGACAGTGACATTAAATGACAAACTGTCTACTAGTCTCAAACTATCCACTTGTCCAAATGCAGATTCAGATGAACAGCATGTCAGAAACCAGGAGAACAGAGATGAGATGGAGTCTCCTTGCTTCAGAGCATTAAAAAGCTGACCTTATTCAGATCTGAAACCAGGGGAACTGAAGCATAGAATTTTCACATCTGTCTAACAAAACCAACCATCACTCCAGCCAAAGGGCACTCACCGAGCCGTTGATGCAGGGGACGTCGTCGTAATGAAGCGCCGTCCCGCTGGGGTGGGCATAGCCGTTGGAGGTGCCCCCCAGATATGGGTTAGCAGATATAACACGCCTGTTCATGAAACTGAAAGAAAGGAAATGCGTTAAAATCCATAACCTGACCACCTTTTACTCCAACGAGTCAGGTCTTTAATGAGTTCTGACTTTATTCCCAAGGCTATGTCAGAGGTCACAGGGGCAGAGAAGAAATACTAGACAGAATATAGGCGGAAATGAGAAGATGCGTTGGAAGGACTGTCCTATAAAATTAGGACGGCACACAATTTGCAGAACTGCGGCACAGAACGCCAATAACCAATGCTAGGTACACACAGCAAAGCCTGCAAATAACAGGTGTTCAGAAATACCAAGCGTTTTGATTATCATCCGTCTCTCACAGTGGCCAGCTCCTCTCACAGCCTGTGTTCATAATAATGCTTTACTGGAACATACGCCTCTTTCACAAGTGTGTTACTTCCAAGAGGACAACATGGCCTGCAGAGCTGAAAGTTACTGTCTGGTTTTTCTTGGAAAAAGTTCATGGATCCCTGTTCTATAAGCTTTCTGGGACACTCATTCAACAAGTATTTATGGAGTTCTTAGTACTCAGTCAGCGCCACTGCCACCCCACACATCTTCACCTCTTCCCTGAAATTTCCTCAACTTCCGAGAGCCACTGACAGCGGCCTGAGAAATCCTTTAGAAGGTGTCCTATTGTGGCATAATAAATATATATTTTGGTCTTTGTCCCAAGTTCCTGGTCAAGGCTCCTAAAACTCTCGGAATTTCCTACATGAAGAGCAGGATGAGGGTTGGTTGCCAGAGAAATCAACCCTGTGATTAGGGCTGGAACTTTCCATAAAAACCCAAAAGAATAGGGTTCCCAGAACTTCTGGGCTGTGTGCGTGCGGCGGTGCTGGGAGTGTGGTGTGCCCAGTGAGGGCACGGGAGCGCTGTGCCACACATGCCTTGCCTGGCACACCTCTTCCCTCACTGCTTCTGAGCTGTGTCCTTTTACAGTAAACTGCTAATTCAGTAAACAAGCTCCTCCTATGTTCTGTGAGAGTTCTAGCAATCACTGAACTGGAGGGGAGGGGTCGTGGGAACCTCCAACTCACATCCCACTGGTCAGATGCACAGGTGACATCCTGGACCTGTGACTGGCATCTGAAGTGGAGTCAGCTTTGTGGACTGGGCCCTGCACTGGTAGGGCCTGACGCTGCCTCCTGGAAGACCACTGAGGGTTGAGTTCATGTATTAGGACACCCAGCTGCTGCCCACAGAACCCTAGAGAAGTGCTTGGCGTGGGAAAGACCTGCCCATCTAGTGGCCAGGGGTGAGGCCAACAGTGTGAAGCCTGTGGTGAGGGAACGGCTCACTCCCCTTTAAGGAGGGCAGGCCGGGCCACGCCAGCCTCCGCCCAACACCCCCAGGGGCTTCTGAAGTCCCAAGGTGCTGCCCAGGGCCGCGGGGCTCCGAGGGACTGGGTTCCTGCTCCCTCACTGCGCGGTGATTTCCTGCGCTCCGTCAGTCTCCTGGGTGCCCCGGCACTCCCCTGGCTCTTTCAGCTTCCCCAGCCCCTCTGCCTGCCAAACTCCTCTCCTGACACCCCTCGCACCCGGGTCTCCGCGTGGGTGTGGGTGCTGCCCCCCAGGAGGCGGCCCGCCCCGCAGCCCCACAGCGGCCTCTCCCTCCCCTCCGGGCCCAGGACCACTGCCCTGCATCTGCGTCCTGCCTGCTCTCCCCTCTGGAGGGCTGGCCTCAGGAGCACGGGGACCACGCGGGCACACGCAGGTGCAGGTGCAAGGGCAGGGGCAGGGGCAGGTGCAGGGGCAGGGGAAGGGGCAGGTGCAGGTGCCTAGAGGCTCGGCCGGCTTCCGAAGCCACGGGTCAGGACTAACAATGTAAATCCCAGGGAAGGGACCACCCCAACAGCATTTCCTGCTAGTAGGGGTATTTCATAGGATCCTGGGCTTCTGTGATCACCAGATGAAGAAAACACAGGGTAGGTGAAAACTGGGGAGAGAAGCACAGGGGCAAGTGAAGCCTGCCTCTTTGATAAGAAGTCCGGCAGCATAGCCTCAGGAGCGGCGGGAGGAACTGGGCTTGGGGATCGGGGCTGGGCTTCAGCAGCGCGGGCCGCGGAAATGGCTCCGCACAGAGCGCGCGTGTGCCCCCTGCTGGGGAGGGACGCCATGCGCGGCTTGCTGCCTGGACACATTCTTCAATTATAATTTAAAAACTTTTTCCTTTGCTTATAAAAAATTAATATAATTATACTAAACTTAAAATACATACAGGTATATGTAGGAAAATAAGATGAATAAGAAGGGCCGGGCGCGGTGGCTCAAGCCTGTAATCCCAGCACTTTGGGAGGCCGAGACGGGCGGATCACGAGGTCAGGAGATTGAGACCATCCTGGCTAACACAATGAAACCCCGTCTCCACTAAAAATACAAAAAAATTAGCCGGGCGTGGTGGCGGCGCCTGTAGTCCCAGCTACTCGGGAGGCTGAGGCAGGAGAATGGCGGGAACCCGGGAGGCGGAGCTTGCAGTGAGCCGAGATCGCGCCACTGCACTCCAGCCTGGGCGACAGAGCCAGACTCCGCCTCAAAAAAAAAAAAAAAAAAAAAGATGAATAAGAAGAAAACATACAAGAAGGAAAGGCACAGCAAAACTTGAACATTTGTTTCGCAGTAATAGATTTTGATTTTTAAAAATACATATTTAAGGTTTTCCAATTAAATGCCTCATGGGAGGGCTTTTGGGGAGACAGTGCTATGTATGCTTTCTGTCAGTGAGAGGCAGTAAATGGAGGAATGAATAAAGCCCGGCCACGGGGACCACCCCCTCCCCTGTGCCCTGGGTCGTACTGCCTTGAGTCCTTCTCCTTCCAACAGCAGGCACGTCTCTCATGGGCTTGCATCTTCGGTTTCGAGCATGTGCCCTGCACTCGCCCTGCTGCAGCAGGGACAAAGGATGGAGTCAGAACAGAGGTTCTGGTGGCTCCACTCCTGCTTCTGTGCTGGGAAGAGTCACTGCAGGAGGCCTCTGACGGGCTCACCTGTCAGGAACTGGGAGCACGGGGATTATGGGTCATAGGCACACAGAATGTCCTAGGTGGAGGAGGCCTCAGCCAGGAGCTCGTCACCCTTCACCCCACAGAGAGGGACCTGGCCCAGTGAGGACAACTCCGCCCGGCCCCCAAGAGGGCAGGGCCTGGGGACCCGACTAAACACGAGGCCTCCGTCTTCCGCTGGGTGTCTCTGCACAACAGGATTTGCAGCCAAAGATAGAAGTGGAAATGAAGTAAGAGGCCACATGCCACTTGTTACACCAAAACCAGGAGACAGTCATGGGGAGCTATTTCACAATAACCTCCAGGGACGCAGAGGAAAGGGTGGCCAAGAGGACAGATCCGTGCATCTCCCCACGCTCCGCTCTCCACACCAGTCCCTGCTTTCCATCCTCTTCATCCTCACCACCCCATCCGTGCATCTCCCCATGCTCCGCACCAACCCCTGCTTTCCATCCTCTTCATCCTCACCACTGCTTCCTGAGGGGCTCCCAGCTGAGTGTGACTTGAAGAGAGTTTCAGGAAAACTCTGGAGTATTTTCCTGTGTTATATAATCTATGTACCTCATTGTAAATAGGTTTTCAGGAAAATACGTTTTCATTGTTTACCATTACTAAAGTTCCTAAATATCCTATTTTTCTTGGGAGAATCTCCATTATTATCTTACACTTTCCTTTTTTCAAAATATATTACTGCCGTCTCTTCCTCAGTCACACACAATGCACAAAGAATTCTCCTAAGAACCTTGAAAAGATTCATTAACTGGCTGCCAGTTTATATAAAAGCAAAACATTTAATCTTAGAATATTCATCACACTGGCAAGCAACCATATTTTGAACACTGCTTCCTTGTCACATCTCATCTCTCTTAACTGTTACAGGAATGTTTGGCTAGAAAACTTGAAAATAAGCTTTGTTGCTAACTGACACCTCCTATAAAGACTTTAATGAGGTAGAAAAGATGCCTGCAGCCATAAATTCATTACATGCATATTTTTAATAAATATTTTTAGTATTATAATCTACATTCCTTTCTCAAAAATGTGACCTTGCCACATTTGGTTTAGATTAATACTCTCGTCATTTATAGAGTAAAGGCCAAGTTGTATTCTAGGGCAACTATTTTAATTCAGGGTTTCTCTTAAATGTGGTTATTGGTTTGCTGATTATACTTGCAATTACATGTGGCCGTAGGATAGGTTTTTATGGAAATTTAGTATCTTCCAAATAAATATAGTGAACATCCATAACCACTTTTATGTCAGTCTAGTTGGGCAGATTTTGCAAAACTAGATTTAAGGATATTATACTCTTTAAAAAACTTTAAATGTGCTTTATTTACTGCATAGTACTTAACAAATAGAATCATTATAATTTATCCACATTTTGCTGATTAGAAAGAATATAATTAAACAATAACGAGTATAAATAGAACGGTAAGTACTAGACTACGTCTATCCCGATTTCCACACAAAAGGACAGTGGTGAGACCAGTCTGCACTGTAGAAACCCTCCAGTGTTACTGGGGATTTCATGGACAATCTGTGTAAGACTAATTCCACTTGTCAGGGCTATTGACCTTAGTTGGGTGTATGTAACATGTGGTTTGAGTCCTAAAATGGGCCAAGTTATCTTCACTTTGAGAACTATTTCTTAGCCCCAGAATGTCCTAGCTAAGCATTAAATGAACGTCCATTCACCACTGAAGACACAAAGGAAGACTGCTCCAATTCCCCATAGAGAGCGCTTGTGTGGAAAAACTAGATGGTGGTGTTCACATTAAACAGGCACGACACAACAGCACAGGCATCTGAGCCCATCTTCTCCACACTTGAAAGGTCGCGTCATCTCAGCACTGGCGGGTCCGCCAGCAGCTGTCTCTGTTTCTCCTCACTTGCTGATGATGGAATTCATGACCAGCTTTGTTTTCATTCGCTCCCTCACCCCAGTCCCCACTCTCTAAGGAGGAGAGAAACATATGCAGCCGTCAAGGGGTCAAAGACGCCGGAGCTGCAAGTTTCAGAGATTAAGTCGCCCACCCTCTCCATGTTCTACAGAAGACAGCGGAGGTACTAACAGGTAACGAATGGCTTGTCCAAATTGTTCTAATTAGTAAATACCAAAGCAGGACCCAAGCCAAGATGCCCTACCTACTACTTGCTGTATTTGAAATGAAAACCTGAGAAATGTGTTCATTGTTATTCACTTAAAAGTGGCACCGTGGGCCATGCCTGTAATCCTAGCACTTTAGGAGGCCAAGGTGGGAAGATCACTTGAGCTCAGGAGTCCAGGAGTTTGAGACCAGCCCGGGCAACATAACAAGACCCTGTCTCTACCCAAAAAAAAAAAAAATTAGCCAGGTATGGTGGCACATGCCTGTAATCCCAACTGCTTGGGAGGCTGAGATGGGAGGATCCCTTGAGCCCAGGAGGTCGAGGCTGCAATGAGTCATAATTGTGCCACTGCACTCCAGCCTGGGCAACCGAGCAAGACCCTTAATCAAAAAAATCACCACCACCACCACCACCACCAACAACAACAACAAAACCCCAATAACAAGTGGCACTGTTCACACATTTGTAAACCTAGTTAGTGTCCAGCTTAACAGAAGGTAGCTGGATTCTCACACCTGCTTCTGCATTCAATCTGTCACCAAATGCGCTTTTGGTTGAAGTATGCGAAGAAAATCCAGCCTCAAACAGATGTAAGCTGGACAAGTGGGGCACGTTTTAATTGCTTTTTCTGGGTTATAGCTGCGCTTCTTTAGTACTACACCAAAACGTGGCAAGTGGTGGCTTCTCACCGCCAACTGCAATGGAGCTGGAAAGCAGATCCATCGACTCACATTAAAATCCAGTCGTTTATCTTGCACTAGGAATAGATCTTTTCCCAAGCATGGCTTCTGCAGATCTTCCCAACGTTGACACCCTTCATTATACGACATCAACAAAACTGCTCACTGACATGACTACAGATCTCAGCAGGAGTCTGTGGGTGCTGAGAAGCTGGCAAGCTCACCATGGCAGATGCAAATTTTCCAGAATTCTAATTTCTAAGGAAAGCTTAAATGTATCGTAAGCAACAAATACTGCCAACTGTTTGCCTAGAGATGATGATGGGTGTAGCTAGCTCATTTTCAAGGAAACATCTGCAAATGCCTATGTGCGAATAACCACAGTTTGTCTGTTGCTTTGTCAAGTAAAAATGAAACAAAACTTAACGCAGCTAGTTCTCTGAGCACCTCACTTGTCTGAGCTGTTCCTCAACAGGACCACTGTCATTGTACACGCCTGCGTGCTCTCCATGGCCTCTCACCACGCCACGCGGAACAGGAAAAGCACACGGGCTTCAGAGACTTCGTGCAAATATCTACTATCTGATCCTTTATAGAAAAAGTCATCATTTTTACTGCTTCCTCAAGGACATCTGAAGTGAAACCAGCATTTTCTTTTTTTTTTTTTTTTTTTTTTTGAGACGGAGTCTCGCTCTGTCGCCCAGGCTGGAGTGCAGTGGCCGGATCTCAGCTCACTGCAAGCTCCGCCTCCCGGGTTTACGCCATTCTCCTGCCTCAGCCTCCCGAGTAGCTGGGACTACAGGCGCTGCCACCTCGCCCGGCTAGTTTTTTGTATTTTTTTTAAGTAGAGACGGGGTTTCACCGCGTTAGCCAGGATGGGTCTCCATCTCCTGACCTCGTGATCCGCCCGTCTCGGCCTCCCAAAGTGCTGGGATTACAGGCGTGAGCCACCGCGCCCAGCCCAGCATTTTCTTTTACTATCGCAAATGGTAAAATTCTTTGACTATTTACACTGGCAGTGACAATGATTATTAATACAGAGAAGGACGACTGTTGGTGCGAAGCTGCCAGCCAATGGTCACTAATGCAGATGTCCAAACGGTGGGAGACGGAAACAATGTCTTATGAAAATAATTTAACTCCGCAGACTGCCAGAAAGGGTCTGGAATATCCCCAGGCGGTCTCTGGACCATACCAAGAACTGCTGCTATAAATATTTCTGCCACCATTAATTAAAGAAATATTCACCGTTCAAAAGGACGTTTTTATACATGATTGCAGCATTTTTCTTTTTTAAATCACAATTTAAATTTACAAAGTACTTGATGGATAGCTTTGAAAACTCAGTCCTCATTACGGCAATATGTAGAATCATTTGTGCTTCGTAGAACCGTTCATCTAATACAGGGGTCAGCAAACTATGGGCCAAATCCAGGCCACTGCCTGTTTTCACAAATAAAGTTTTATTAGAACACAGACACACCCATCATTTACATATGGTGTCTGGCTGGAAAGGGAGCTGAGTGGATATTAACAGGAATCGTCTGGCCCACAAAACCAAAAATATTTACTATCTAGTCCTTTATGCAAGTTTGCCACACGCTGCTTGAATAGAAAACCCAGTGGGTTGACATGACAAAAACATTGCTGCAAAATTTGGATTAAGATAATGCAAAAGGGAAAGCTTTTAGATTTTCCTTCGGAGACTATATCCTCACACAAAAACTAAGTGAAACTAAGTTAGCGAAAAGACAAGTATTGAACTGTGGTGCCATTTCATACGGCAGTGGGTCTTACCAGAAGGTTTGTTTGGCTGTCTGAATGACACTGGCAGACATCTCCACATCGATGTAGTCATAGTGCAGGGCCCCCGGGTCTGTGGACGACCCCGTCTCTGCGAGTAAAATCCCAATCCACCTGCCCATGTCCTCAGAGGAAGATGCCTGTGGAAGTGGGAAAAAAGGTAGGTTGTATTTAACTAAAGATTTTTTACATTTTCGTAAATGCGTCCAAGAAAGAGACCGCATAATAGGAAAGGCGATGGAACGTGATGTCCCTAAGAAGAAACGAGAAGGAAGACGCAGCCACTGGCTGAGCGATGGGATTAACATCACGTTCACAGCAGGTCTTAACTTAGGAAGCGGCATCCCAATTATACCAAAGGTGAATGAAACTCTGAGGTCCTAAAATGCCTTCCAATTATCATAGGGAAAGGCACTAGGGGTGAGACACGAAAATTAATGGGATTAGTTACATTCCAGCTGAAAGAACTTGCTGAGAAACCTCTGGCGACATCGCCTGACCAGGAGAAGGAGCACGTCCCAGCTGCTGCTGCCTGACTTGGAAAACGCGACCAAGCGCTAGGCCCTTACTAGTCTCAAACATTTTTATCCAGGAGTCCTGGGTGAGCCCCCCTACATGGGCCTGAAATGGTCATTCAGTTTCTTGATTAGGTGATATAAAAAAACCAATTTCCTTTGATATCAATTGTGTTTCCATGGGGGAACGATGCTCTGAAATCACTGGGCTGCTTTGGACACACCATTTTTTAAGATGTCTGCTATCTCCTCCATTTGGTCTGCTTAATTTGCAAGTCTGAAGTAGGTCTTTAAGATTATGTTCGTTCAATTTTTAAGTCATCCTTTTTTTTTCCCCCTCTGAGACATGGTCTCGCTCTGTCACCCAGGCTGGAGTGCAGTGGTGTATCATAGCTCACGGCAACCTCCAACTCCTGGGCTCAAGCAATCCTCCTGCCTAAGCCTCCCAAGCAGCTGGGACTACAGGTGCGCACCACCAAGCCCAGCCAATTTTTTTTATTTTTTATTTGTAGAGACAGGGCCTCACCATCTTGCCTAGGCTGGTCTCGAACTCCCGGGCTCAAGCAATTCTCCTGCCTCAGCCTCCCAAAGTGCTAGGATTACAGGTGCAAGCCACCATGCCCAGTTTTAAGCCATTGTTTTAAAGTGATTTAGAAAATCAGTTATATTTTTAATGGTATTTGAAATCTTTAAAAATTTTGATTAATCAAATATGTAAATAATGGTTAGAGTTTAGGAGAAATTAAGCTATCAAATTTATGAGTTAACTGAATGTTGAAGAAAACAAATTCATTGCTTATAAAAATTACTAATTTAAATAAAGATCTTCTAAGTTGAGCTTAAAGAAAATTGGGTTTTATAATTATAACCTTGGCAAGTTTAACACCGATCAAACTATAAGTAATTGTAAATACTCCACGCCATGTAGAAAGGCCTCTCTAAAGGAAGGGATGTTAACAAAGAAGCAGCTATTTTTTATGTTGAGAAATTGGCTAGTGATATTTTCCGTACTACAAATCATTACTAACCATACACAATGAGGCCATGAGGACAAAGGGAAGGAATTCCCAGTAAGTACCTTACAGAGAGTAAAACCAGAATCAATGTTTGCCAAATTAAAACGAATTGATTTGAATACCTGGATTAAAAAAAAATCACAAATGTGTTCTCTTCACAGGTCTTATGTCCTTCCTAAAACAAAATCTATATTGAGAATGTATCCATGATTAGTCTATTCCTATGTCACTATAACCATTGCATCAAAGCATTTTAAAAATGTTTTCATACAATTAATATCTAAGATGTCACTGATATTATTACATTAGAGTTTACCAATTCCTTTCTTCATAGTTGATTGTATGAAATTTCCTCATAGGCTTTTAAAAAATAATACTGTGGTGTTGGAGGTATTAGTTCTCACAGCTTTTAATACATAGATAGGTATAGACAGACATGTGTGGGTGCGTGTATGCATATATGCATGTATATGTATACATATACTTAAGTATCTGTCGCATGTATAACATATAAACGTGTGAATGTGTGTGCATGTATCCATACCCACATCCACACATCTGTTTCTAGCGTTTGTCTACTGAAAAGACCCAGGCGCTCTGGTCCGCTGGCAGAAGTGAGCACACCTGGCCCCCAGATCCTGGCATCTCAATTCTCTGCCATTCTCCTCTAAAAGGAACAGATTGCTTTGGAGGAACGGCTGACTCCAGGTCTGGAGCAGGGAAAAGTACAGGATGAGCCTGGGGCATCTCCTTGTGCCATAAAGTAAGGAAAGTGCTCCAAGCATGATGGACTATGATCTCTTTATTACAGGGACATGGCAAAGGACAAATAACCAGCTCTGAGGGCCTCCTGCGGACCAAATCTGTGATAGTTTGACCAAAATAAGTCACGACATTAAAGGATATAATCACTGATTAAAAATCTATAGCCTGGGCTGGGCGCGGTAGCTCACGCCTGTAATCCCAGCACTTTGGGAGGCTGCGGCGAGAGGACCACGAGGTCAGGAGATCGAGACCATCCTGGCTAACACAATGAAACCCCGTCTCTACTAAAAATACAAAAAAAATTAGCTGGGCGTGGTGGCGGGCACCTGTAGTCCCAGCTACTTGGGAGTCTGAGGCAGGAGAACGGCGTGAACCTGGGAGGCAGAGCTTGCAGTGAGCCGAGATCACGCCACTGCACTCCAGCCTGGGCGACAGAGCAAGACTCTGTCTTTTAAAAAAAAAAAAAAAAAAAAAAAAAATCCTACACAAAGACATACAGACATATAGAGAGAAAGGGGCGGCGGGGAGAGTGCACACACAGGGCTGTGCAAGAAACAGCACAGCAAGCACAGGGCACATTGGTCTTTGACGGATAAGGATGAAGGGCGCACAGGCATCCTTTGTGCTACCCTTGCAACTTTTCGGTAACTCTGAAGATATCTCAAAACAAAAGTTAAAATAAAAGGATCTTGGAAAAAGTATAGATTGCAACTCCTCTACTGACTGGCTCATGGCATTTCGCCACTGATGAGGACAGGCTTCTTGCTCACGTTGGAAGGCTGTAGATGTTTTATGTGTCACTTGTAAGTGAAATCACTTTTCAGCTGTAAAAATAGTGGTCGTACATGAAGAGATACTGGGTAAACTTCCAATTCTTGCTGTCGTGTCATTCAGGAAACTGAGTCTACTTACTTCAGCTCTCTCAAGGAATAAGCACCTTCCTGAGTGGTCCAAGCATTGGTGAAGGTATGAAATGCTACCGCTTTCTCTCCAGCACTTGGGGCACACAGCTACTGTGCCCCCAGCAATGGCGGGGCAGGTGACTTCTTCACCAAACAGCTCCTAACTTCCACCCAACCCCACCCCACCCTGAGCTTCTCTGTCTCGGCACTCAGCCCAGCGTCTCCCTCTTCATTCCTGCATCTAACCCGTGCCAATTCATGCCTCCTTTTACTGGCAACCTTTCTCAGATCTGCTGCCAGAGCTCTCATGGGAGACCCACATTGTTATATCAAGAGTACAGTTTCTTCGTTTAAGTTTTCAGCTTTTTTCCACTGCCATCCACCCTACAGTTTTCAGCCCACATCAATGTTTACAAGGTACACTGACTCTAGCTCAGCATTCATGTTTTATGGTGGGTAAAGAAGCCAAGAGAGAACAAAAGCTTTGGCCGTGGTCAGGGTCTGCACAGAGCTGAGACTAGAACCCAGCTGTCTCAAGCCCATCTGAGCCCAGCCCTCTCTGTTAGATCACACTGCTGCAAAACCAGCCACGGGGGCAGCTGTGTGTGCTTCTGACCTTCCCTTACCTCCTGAGCCCTGCAGGAAAAAGATGGTGTTCATCTATTTTTCATCCCCACCAAAAAAAGCAGCCTCTGTGAAAATAGTTCCTGCAATGAGCTCCTACGTGTGAAATTCAAGATCTTCAGAAAGATTGCCTGACTGGGCCGTCAAGGTTTAGGCGGCAGCCCCTGGCACTCTCTCCTCTGCCGATGAGCGTCACTACGCAGGCATTTAGAGCAGGCTCCACACCAGGTGAGTTTCTGCCACACACCAGCCACCCACCACACCTGACGTGAACTGGTTTCTATCGATTCTGCAGCATGAGGTGCACTGACACGGGCGCGACCATCTGACGTGTGAATGCATGGATCTATCTCTCTATCTTTGCATCTTAGTCATAGTAACACTAAGTGGGGGAAAAGACTCAGAAATAAAGGGAAAAATCACAGGAAAAAAAGGTCTAAAACAGGGCAGAAAACATCAACAGAACGTTTTCTATGATGAAAAACTAAAAACTTTCAATAATGAAAGTTTTGAGTATGTAGCTATAAGTTGTAACTGTCTTTTCTGCTTTCATGTATAAGAAATTCTAGTGAAGCAGCCAAACAAATAACAAAGCGTGCACCAAGCCCCGGGCTCTGAAACAGCAAAGGTGCTCTTTCGGTTTCTGTGTCATGTGGCTCACTGGCCGCCATCTACAAGGCATTCAGATGGCCCCAAAAAGTCTTCCATCTGTAAAGAAGTCAACATTGCAAAGGAAACATTTACCACCATTTCAAAGAGCTCATATGGCGGAAAGAGCTTTCTTGGAAATTTTAAAACAAGTTATTTTCCAGGTGCTTTAGAGAAGCAATGTCCTCTGTGGGATTGTGCATGTAATTTCTCTGCAAACAGGCATAACCAGACAAGGAGGCAATCCAATCTGATGTGTGCAAATGGGGAGAAAGTGGTGCTGGGGTCCCGGCATTGTCGTATCTCCCAGAAAAAAAACTGAGGCAAGAAGCAAAGCAAAGACACCCAGACTGGAAAGTGAGAGAAAAGGGGGTGGGCCGAAAAGATGGGAGGAATTTTGACAGAGGAGTCAGCGTTCAGCGTTTGGAAGGAGAATCACGGCGTGTGTCCCCCTGTGGAGTGCAGCCCCTGGGAAACATCCTACCTCCAATACTGCAACCTCCTGGCCGTTGCGCAGCAGCCGGAACGTCAGGGGATGTTTAGAATCCAAACCCGGGATCACCTCGCAGCCACGGAGGGGAATAGACACAATGTGGGTCTTCAGGTCGGTCCTGTCCTTGTGGAAAATGAGCTTGTTATCCTTCACTCGGCACCAGCGCTCCCGCCAGCGGCTGTTGGAGAGCACGTTCAGATAGCCTGCGGGGAGACAAGCCACACGTCAGCCGCCTCGGACAAGACCAGGCGCGGTGAAGACGTCCAGAGTCGCACTGAGGAGGCCCAGGGATGGGGGTGTGGATAAAACAAGTCCCTCACACGATCGATCAAGCTTTAAATGCAAATTCACATAAACTAGGAGAGCCGTGGCTATAGCATCACAAGTTTTGGGGGCTTTTCATTGCACCAACAGACCGTATCTGGAAGCCCCTAATTCAACACGTGCGAAGAACCAGTTACCGGACGTCTAGTGTTGATGTGGGACTATGGAATTCACCTAGAGCACGTGAGAAGTGAACAAGCCATCGGGTTTCGGATGGCCAGGATGGGGGCACAACAGGTGCCTTCAAACTGGAAAAGGATTTCATTTATTTTGAGGAGCTGCAAATGATACAAGTAGGGTAAGAGTCACAGGCAGGCAGATTTTTGGCGTAACATGAAGAAACAAAAACTATCTGAAAATGAAAACTTTTCAAGAAATAGGAGGCCCTGGGAGGCACTAACATCCCCAGCGCTGGAAGCAGCCTACCGATGGCAGAGGCCCCGGGGGCAGGTTCCCAGCCGAGGCTGAGGACGCACCTGCCGCCTTTCTGCTCCTGAAACTGCAAAGCGACTGGTGAAGCTGCCCGGAGGAAATCTCAACTCTAAAGTCTGAAGGTACATGAAAGTTTGTGATCTGTGTCTCTGCTATGGCACAACATCTTCAGTATACCACAGAGACAGGAGTGGCAGAATGACAGGAAAAATTATTATCCTCATTTAAAAAAAAAAAAAACCTTCTCAAATACAGGAAATGGACCATTTTCACCTGTTACAAACATAAAATGGATTCTTCTAGAAATAACAAGGCATGAAAAAATAGATATCAGGGTGGCTGTACCTTCCGACCACACCATATTGCTAGTAAATCACTGCCCCCTTTAAGATTTAGAAAGCGAGTTAAATAGCATATAAAATGTTGATAGTGGGAGAAAAGGAAGTACCAGACTCCCAACTGAAGTTCAGCTACTCCTTTAGTTCACACATGCACACACACACATACCCCTGCCTCAAAAACGTTAAGAAACAAAACAAGATACATCCTTTCCAATTCTGATTTTTCAGATTCCTTTTCCAGCCAATAGTAGTCCCAGCTACTTGTGAGGCCAGGGTAGGAAGATCACCTGAGATTAGGAGTTCAAGATCAGCCTGGGCAACACAGTAAGACCCTGTCGCTTAAAAAAAAAAAAAAAAGAACGAAAGAAAAAAGAAAAAAAAAATCAATTAAAATGCCTTTCCAAAAGGGTTTTGGAGGATGTTTCTTACTGCTTTTATGTTCTCAGTCTTACACACCTTATTAGCAATGGATAAATGCTATGAAGACCAAAAAAAAAAAAAGAGAGAGGTATGTTCAGGACCCAGAATGATGCTTTACAACTTACAAATACTGGTTCAGTGGCTTACTAGGTACACACTTATAAAGTCTAAATTTTCATTGGCTGAATGTGACGTCATTTCTACCAACACACACTGAAGAGAAATGCACACTGCTTCTTCTGGAACTAAAACTTTCATCTGGGGTGTGTGGGCTGCTGTCCTTAGGGAGTGACAGAGAAAGGAGGCGCCAGGCTGAGGCTCCAAGGCCTGTGCTGTGGCCGCCCTCTTGTGTTCAGAGAGCAAACTACACTCGATCCAAGCGCCTTGTGCTTCAGACACTTAGGAGGGCTGCAGGGAGGCGAAGAGGCTCTAGAATCAAAGTAGGAAAGAGTCTCAGAGGCTTTACTTATTGAAGGAGGACGTTAACTCCCAGATAATGTGAAGTATCTTGTCCAAGACCACACAGCAAAGCCAGACCTGAACCCCTGCTGGGAGTCAAAGACGGCAGATAAAGAGCTGTTAATATGCATACAACCGGAGGCCTTATAGCACTATTTTTGCTCTGTAAAATGCTATTTGTAAACGACACAGTTCCAATACATTTATTTTTTATTTATTTATTTTTTTGAGACGGAGTCTCGCTCTGTCGCCCAGGCTGGAGTGCAGTGGTGCCATCTCGGCTCACTACAAGCTCCGCCTCCCAGGTTCGCGCCCTTCTCCTGCCTCCGCCTCCTGAATAGCTGGGACTACAGGCGCCTGCCACCACGCCCGCCTAATTTTTTGTATTTTTAGTAGAGACGGGGTTTCACCGTGTTAGCCAGGATGGTCTCGATCTCCTGACTTTGTGATCCACCTGCCTCGGCCTCCCAAAGTGCTGGGATTACCGGCCAATACAGTTATTCTTTAAAAAGAAAAAAAAAACCTCTACTTAAAAAGAGGTCAACTATCATATCTGAGCATCCGAGTGCCAGCGCTGGGAACCACGTGCTCACCATGGCTCTGATACCATCTAGAGTAACCACTCATGCTGAAAGCCAACATTTTTACATTTTTAGACTTTCACACAATGACAGCCAACTGTATCAATCCTAAGTATGTTTTGAGCATGAGTTGACAAACGTAAAGGTGTATCTAAAAGGAAAAGGGAGGCAAGGACTCCCCTCAAATCACTTCACATACTGAGGTGCATTAAGATAACATGCCCCAAAACGGTTTCTGAAAAGGAGCAGTAAGCTACAGGGCAAGGAAAACAGCCTGTGCTCTGGAGCAGTCAGGGCCCAGGCACCCCTTCACGGGGCCCGTAGAAGGAGTGGAAGAAACTGAGAATTGAAATGCCAGTGACCTCAATGACAGGGACTGTACAGTGCAGCGGGGCAGCAATTCCCAACCACAAAGGACTCAGTCCGATTCCCAACCACAGAGGACCCAGTCCCCAAGAGGGCATGGACTCAGCAGTGGGGCGGCAATTCCCAACCACAGGGGGCCCGGCCCCGAACCCCAGCCCGGCCCCAATCCCTAGCCCACCCCAACCCCCAGCCACAGGGCGCCCGGCCCGATCCCCAGCCACAGGCGCCCGGCCCGATCCCCAGCCACAGGGGACCCGGTCCCGATCCTCAGTCACAGGGGACCCGGCCCCGATCCCCAGCCACAGGGGACCTGGCCCCGATCCCCAGCCACAGGGGACCCGTCCCCGATCCCCAGTCACAGGGACCCGTCCCCGATCCCCAACCACAGGGACCCAGCCCCGATCCCCAGCCACAGGGGACCCGGTCCCAATCCTCAGTCACAGGGGACCTGGCCCCGATCCCCAGCCGCAGGGCGCCCGGCCCGATCCCCAGCCGCAGGGGACCCGTCCCCAATCCCCAACCACAGGGACCCGGCCCCAATCCCCAGCCACAGGGGACACGGTCCTGATCCCCAGCCACAGGGCGCCCGGCCCGATCCTCAGCCACAGGGGACCCGGTTCCGATCCCCAGCCACAGGGCGCCCGGCCTGATCCTCAGCCACAGGGCGCCCGGCCCGATCCTCAGCCACAGGGCACCTGGTCCCGAAGAGGGACATGGACTCTCATGGTGTCTCCTTCCCTGACAGAATCTGGCCCAAAGCCACCAGACACTATGAATTTCTTGACATTCCAGCCATAAAAGGAATGATTATATTGGACAGATCACATTTTATTTAGAAAATGACTTTATATGAAATTATCATAATGCCCCCAAATTTCACCCCCCAAAAAAATCCCCTGGGTAACAGACTTGTTCACAGCAGCAGGTGGCTCTACCGTCACCTGTCTGTGTTCAGCGACTGCCCCTACCCCGTCCAGCCCCCTGCCCCTACCCCGTCCAGCCCCCCGCCCCTACCCCGTCCAGCCCCCCGCCCCTACCCCGTCCAGCCCCCCGCCCCTACCCCGTCCAGCCCCCGCCCTACCCCGTCCAGCCCCCTGCCCCTACCCCGTCCAGCCCCCTGCCCCTACCCCGTCCAGCCCCCGCGCTACCCTGTCCAGCCCCCGCGCCCCTACCCCGTCCAGCCCCCCGCCCCTACCCCGTCCAGCCCCCTGCCCCTACCCCGTCCAGCCCCCTGTCCCTACCCCGTCCAGCCCCCCGCCCCTACCCCGTCCAGCCCCCGTACCCTGTCCAGCCCCCCGCCCCTACCCCGTCCAGCCCCCGCCCCTACCCCGTCCAGCCCCCCGCCCCTACCCCGTCCAGCCCCCCGCCCCTACCCCGTCCAGGCCCCCCGCCCCTACCCCGTCCAGCCCCCCGCTCCTACCCCGTCCAGCCCCCTGCCCCTACCCCCGTCCAGGCCCCTGCCCCTACCCCGTCCAGCCCCCGCCCTACCCCGTCCAGCCCTGCCCCTACCCCGTCCAGCCCCCTGCCCCCATTTCTCAAAATGGGGAGGCCCAAAGTTCCTACATTCTGGGTAGGGAACATGAAGAGGCCACACAGGAAACGGCAGACAACCTCATCTAAGGAGTCTAGAGTCAGGGGGTCCTCTGGACCCCCCATTATTAGCCTGGCTGATGAAATCAGCGCTGCCTAGGACCCCGTCATCTCCAGGAATATTTACGCTGGAGCGACATCCACCACCAGGTGGTGCTAGAGTGCAGCCAGGACGGGCCCAGCTTGGCTCCTGCAGCAAGAACTGCAGGCGGGAGCTTCAAGGCTCACCCAGGGCGTCTTAAGATTTAACTACTTAACAAGGCAGGTCCAGATAGAAGCCATTTTATTTTTGGATCCCACTTACCATATTATGGTAGGATGTTACTGAATTTTAAAAATTTGTGAGTTTAATGTTTTCAGCTGATTTCTGCTCCAAATTCAAAGGAAAGGGCACAGGTTCTTGCAACACTGTGGCAAGAGTGCATGAGGAGATTTCACTAAAAATATAAAACTAACTTTACAGCCTGAAGATTAAACAAACAATAAATACAGATGGAGGGGAACAGATATAAACCCTCCCGGTCAGCTGTTCCGGATACGGGGCGTCGCGGGTCTCAGTGCCAGGTGGCTCTCAAATTCCGGCAGCTGCAGAAGAGCCGGCAGGCGAAGGCTTTTAGAAGTGTGGCCAAGTTTCCATTGATTTATTCTCTGTAGGAAGGGAAATGATAGTGCCTGCCCACCCCAGAGGCT